TATAAAACTTGTTAGTTAAGAAATGTATGGAACAGCTTTAAAGGATCAAATGCAGCGTTTTTGAGTTGACAAACAAAGAGAGAACCAGACAACTGGGAAATGTTCAAAAATGAGTATTTAAGGCATTACTGGTTAAGGATCAACGTCAAATGCACAACAAATTTATAGATTTAACAACATAACTTCTTAATCATTGGGGAATAATCCAAAAGAACGTTCGAGTTTCTGGGAAAACGAATGGCATAATTTGCAAAATATACCTGCATATACTTTGGATTGCCATAAAACGAAACCATAGTGCACCACCACTAGTTAGAGCTTGGGTTTTTCGAAGTTGCACCACTCCTGATTTCAGTATTGAAGTGTTTCTACTCTCAAAAGCTCCTATTACTCCGTGGCCATGTGCCGCGAATCACAACATCTTTATCATTCTACCATACACATGTAAGACGGGATAACCCTATTGGGAGATCAATCAGTCAGTCTTAAAAAAGCAGTAGTCATAATTGGTCGTGCAGTCGATACAGTTGAAGCCGTTGAAAAGTTGTCGCGTTAAACATTAGGTTGCTAATTCGTTCATATTTTACATCACACTTCAATACATAAAATATATTTTTCGAATAATATAACTGAATTAAAAATATTTTTACATTTACCAATATATGTAACATTTTATCATTGTATCATTTTTCACTTGTTTGGATTTGCATTTCGCGACCTTCGAGTGATGCAACACCATCAGACATGATAACAACACTTCCTTTCTGAAATTAGGATTCAGGATCTTCATAAATAACAAAGTTTTTCAAGAACGTGTCGAAAACCTCTTTATAAATAATATCGTATCTTTTACAGCTTTTTAATACAGAGCTGGCATGGCGAAACATAAAATCAAAACTGATAAATCTCGTTAGTTAGAAATTACTATATGCTTACATGAAAAATTGCAAATTTGGAGAAATGTTGAAGTCAAACAACACGGCAGTGAAATACTCTGACAGATGGTCGGACATGGCTTTGTCTTTATTCAGCATAAGGCACATACTCAGGCTGCTGCAAAATTGGTTGGAATAGGATACTTCCAATCATTTATTGATCACCACAACCTGATATTCCTAAAATTAATTTTTTTGAAGGTTAATTCGATTTTACAAAACAAATTTTCGTTTGTTCGTTTTATTCAGATAGAGCATCAAAGAAAACAATTTTGTAAAAAACAGCAAATTTCTCGTGAACGTTTTTGATGGCTAATTTTTTACGATTATAAATTTGGTGTTACTCCACAGTGGTTTCGTGAAGATCGACCAATGACATCAAGGACAGAACGACTTGTCATATATCTTGAGATTCAAATGCCCTTAGGTATTGACATGAAACAATTCCATCGATTTTTACGGAATCATTTGAATGTAAAACATGATGTTCATGTTGGATACCCCCTAAATTTGACCTAAAATCTCAAACGGTTCAACTCAAATTTGGTATACAACATCGTAACATGTGTTTAAACTTTAACATAATCACAAGAACCTTATACTAAACAATAGTCGATTGTTTAGGTGTTGTAAAATGAACCTAAGCCAACAAAAGAAGTTCGTTCGCGCAGTGCTTCAAAGAAAATAATTGCATAATTTTTCAGTAAAACCAGCACGTTTCTGCCATTGCTTTAGAGGATCGTAGAACAGTGAAGGCTGAGTGCTAAACGACAATTTTCTCGCCAGAAGTCATCAATGATTTGCGAAAATTAAACCAAAAATCCCGCATGATCCTTAATTATGACAATGCTAGCTTACATACAGAACATCAATCAGTTGATTATTTAAAGCAGCAAAGTATTAGATTACTTGTAATAACTCACTGTCCACTTGATTTATCGCCAAATGTCTTATTTTTGTTCCCAACGAACCCATTCACAACAGCTGAAGAAGTTGTTGAAGTATTCAAAAAGCTCCACTTCAGAAAAGAAAACATACATACATATGTACATATATGTTAAAGGCGAATATTTTGAAAATAAATAAAATTGGTTTTGTAGAAAGTGTTATAGTTTTTTCCTCATCATTCCAGAAACAGAACAGCCCATAAATAAAGGACATGGGCCCGATAATGAACATATATGTACAAGTATGTAAGGTGGCAACCAGACACCTATTGCAACAATATGGCATCCCTACACAGGCAGCAGGGGTATGGAGAGAAGTCAGTCATTAGAGAGAGTCGTTGGAAAGCAGCCGTGGCATAAAGTCGGCATCAGTCAGCCGTCAGTCGTTTAAGCCGTTTACCGAAGCAGCGATCAGCCGTCTTCGAATTTAAATATTCGTCATTAACAAACACAATTGTATTAGTATTTTCTTTTCCCCATCGATAACTTTCAAACTATTACCTGCTAGAGACAGTAACTGGAGTGGGGCATGGCCCGTTTATCGACAGGCACTTCCTGTTACAAATTTAAAATGCGTGCGCGATCGTGTGTTATCAGTGCGAAAATGAGCATCGAACAAAGAGCCAACATTAAATTTTGTTTTAAAATTGATAAAACTTTTACCGAAACGTTTGAATTGATGGAACAAGTTTATGGCGATGATTGCCTATCCCGTAGCAGAGTGCACGAGTGGTTTCAACTTTTTCAAGTGGTTGAGAGGACATAAATGACGATCAACATGTCGGCCAATCAAAATTCGTGATCACCGAAAATTCCATTGAAACTGTGCGTGAATTCATAAAAAATCAGCCGAAATCATCATTGAAATTGATGGGAATGGAAGTGAACATCTCCAAAACATCGATATATCACATTTTGACCGAACATTTGGGTTTACGAAAGGTGTGTGCACGGGTTGTTCCGCACAAATTTACTGGCGACCAAAAATTGCTCTCATCGATCGACGCTTGTGACCGATTATTTGACCAAAAATCACATTTTAACCATTAACCACTCGCCGTATTCACCTGATATGGCACCGTGCGACTTCTACCTTTTCGGAAAAATGCATTTGCCCATGAAAGGAAAGCGTTATGCAGACGTAGAGGCCATTCAAAAAGCTTGCACCGGCATACTGGCGGCAATACCGGCCAACGAGCTACACCACTTTTGGCCCGTGCAAAAAGCTGTATTGAAGCAGGAGACTATTTTGAATAAAATAAATTGATTTTGCCGAAAAAACCATTTGTAAAAGTCCTATTTACTTTGGAACACACCTTGAATTTTTAAAAATTTTTAAATGATTAACATAATGTAGAATTGTGAACCAATACAGCAATAATAACAACAGCTGCGGGAAGGTTATGGGCAGAGTTTACACTTCTGCTATAACTTCATTTTCATGATGATATCTAACATAAGCCTATATAAGTCTATTTGTTATAATGCGAAAAAGTCGGTCCATGCCCATGGCTATGTAGACTTGTCATATGCATTCCCAGAAAGGGTTTATTATTGGCCATAAGCCCAAGTTAAACTAACCCCGTTAAGCATTTCAGTTGCCTAATGCATAAACCTTCCGCTGAATTGAGCTAAGTGTAGGCGTTGCTGATCACAAATTAAATATAGCTTTGACCAACTGACTTAGTTTGTTTCTATATATTCTTACAGAAATTATACCATAAGTGCAATTTTTAATATAATGACATGTTCCGCTTCGGTGACGAGTTTCAATAAGCTTTAGCCTTAGAGCTGTAGGACATCAGTACAAGAAAAACTAAATATTGAACTCAACACACAACACTCAACCCTTTGCACAAATTTTACAAATATTTTATTATTGAATGCGTTTGAAAAGGGGGGAAATTGTGATATTTTTCTCGCACGAATTCCTTAAAATTACGCATGAATAACATACAAAGGAATTTGCATTTATTATTAAATTGTGGTGCGAAGCGCCAAATGTTTGAAAATTTCAAATTAAAATAAATGCAATATAAGAGTTTTTCGATTCAATTATTGCAGTTCTACGCCTGTGTAGTTTTGGCTTAAAGGTTGGTATTACTTGCATTTTTATACACACCCGAATTGGTTCTGCTTCTTTATGCTAATTTAGCCATCTAATTCATGATATCAGTACTAATAAGCCCCATTAGTAAATGGAAAAAGTCGTTAATAAGTTACGACTCTATGTAAGTATATATGGTTATGAATTATGGTGATCCCACGAGTCTAGCGTTCTTTTCGTCCTTTTCTTGGATTTCCCCATCTCTTAACAAAAGAGAACACAACAGTGGAGTAGGCCCAACAGTGAAATTTTGAGATGTAGAATTGTATGTATGTAGATTAAGTGTGCTTATGTAGCTTTTCAAATGTGAACAGTATTGACGAAATTCTGAGGGGGGAGGAATCAAAAAAGAAAATATATTATACATTAAACAAAGCTGGGTAAAAATTAAAAAAAAAATCATTAATGAAAAACAGAAGCTTTAGATTTTGTTAGCGCCGTCGGTGTGAAATCCTTTTCCATTGCATATGGGTCTTGGCGACTTAGCTCTCGGATCCACACCAAGCAGCACTATCTTAACCTATTATCTACGGATGTCCTTTTCAAAGGGACCCTTTAAGAGCAACTGGGGCCTGCAACTCTTTATATACAGAACTTATTTTTACTCATGCATTAATATACAGCCTTTTCAGAGCCCAGGTCAAACAAGAGAACTGTTACTATTGCAAAGAAGGTCAAACTTGGGAAACTAATTTTACCAACTTGGAAAGATTGGGAACGAACTCCTAATGTTTATGAACGATTTGAACACAAGGGTATCTGTCTACGCTATCAAAACTCTGATGCAAAAACTACACAGAGCAAACTGATGGTGGGAATGGTAAGCAATAGCCGGCTTTAATTGCCAAAATTTGGTCTACAAATTCCAATAATTACGCTCATACATACGGACAGGTTATCACAACAAGTCTAAGATTTGGGTTACAAGAGGAGGAAGTTGTGATATTTTTCTGTTTAGCATGAATTCGTTATACAAGTAATTATGCTTAAATTGTAAATTCTAATACTCACCATACGAACACAAGATGGGAGACGCCAAATATTTGAAACTTAAAATATAACGAAGGCAATGCAATTTAAGAGCTTTTTAATTTAAATGTTATAATTCGACGTTTACTAAGTTTTTCTTGAAGATTATTATAATTTGTTTTCTTTTGAAATGTATACGCCACCGTCTTGTTTCTGTTTCTTTAGTTAAATGTATCCATCTGAAAAGGAATAGTATTATAATAAGTTTCAATTGTATGTGTAGAAAATTAAAGAGAATGGAAGGTTAAAACTTTACTGGCGAAGGGAACAGTTCATCTAATAAAATTAAATTAAATTAATTAAAATTAATTATTTTCTTCTTCTTTATAAGGTTAGTCCTTGTTTTACAAGCTGGGTTCCTTCAGCATTTGTTGAATTTCTGAACTTATTTAATGACTCACTATACTCTGTACTTGAAATGTACCAGAGTATATTAGGTTTTCGGAAAGTAAAAAATGTAACAGGCATAAAGAGGCGTGGCAGATCCCATAAAGTATATATTCTTGATAAGCATGACAAGACGAGTCGATCGATAGACCTGTCTGTCCCTCCGTCTGAACACCTGGATATCAGGGACTATAGAGCAGTGCTGGCATATATTTAGAAGTAATAAAAGCTCTTATAAAATAAAATTTAAAATAGAATTTTTAAAAAATCTAAAAAGGGGTAAAAGAGTGCCGCTTTTTTATATATTCCATTTATAAAAAATGCTTAGAGAAATGTAATTTTTAAGGTTTTTTGTCACCTTGGTGATCATTTAAAATGATACTCGCCCATTTTTTCTGTATCGTCGTATGCTGAAATAGGCAGAAAGCTGCTTCAATGGCTTTACGGACCAGCAACAAAACCAATTTCACTTTTGCTCGGCATTTTTCCTCGAATTCTTTCGGCATGAATATTCATTCACGCAAGTTTAAAAATGATGCGCACTTTTTAAATAAAGACGGTGTAAACTACTTATGTCATTGGCAAATATTGCTGAAAACTAATGACTATGCTTCCACATTACCATTTTTATACCCTGTACCCAAAGGGTACAAGGGTATATTAGTTTTGTGCGAGTGCACATGGAACACACAGAATGAGGCTTGGTAGACCCCACAAAGTATATATATTCTTGATCTTGTCTGTCTGTATGAACGCAAGGATCTCCGAAAGTATAAGAGCTAGAGTAACCAAACTTGGTATCCTGAGACCGAGAAAGGACGAGTTTGTTTATTTTTTCTGATACACTCCCCCACTCCCCCCCCCCTATTAACGATTTTCTATAACTCCCGTAATTCTTGGAATTTTGAACTAAAATTTGGTAGTCACATTAGGTTAGTGATTATATAGCCGTATATTATAATAGAATGATCGGAAAGAAAGTTATAGCCACATAACCAGTCCCAATGCACACATACATACATATGTACAAGTACACAAACACGCATAGATACGATTCTGATGTAAATGTATATATGCATGTATGGAATATTTTATATTTAATTTAGTTAATTAATTAAATTAATTTAGTTAATTAATTAAATTAAATTAATTAATTAATTTAATTTCTTTTTTGTGGGGGGGTACAGGGAGCCTGCTCGACTTTAGCATTCCTTTCTTGTTTTTTACATAAACTTTGGCAAAATTACAAAAAGCGGAAAAACCGAAATGTATTTTCCCCTAATTTGATTTCAGAAGCAACCACATTTGACGGGAAAAAAGCCAAATTGGCAGCACTGTCAAAAAGGCAACAAATTGTTTATAGAGATGCCTTACGGTTGTATACGCAGTACGAGCATATAAGCCCCAACCTGATGTAATTGCCAAATTTAAGTACAATTCAAAGAATTACGGGAGTTAAAATCACTAATCACTACGGGAAAATTACTAGTAGCGAGGAAGTGCGGGGTGAATCAGAAAAATGAGGAAACTTTATCCGTCTAGGCTTTTGGGGAACCTGGCTACATAGTTAGGTTATTCTAGCACTGAGATCCTTTCGTTCATACAGTCGGACATGGCTATATCGATTCGTGTTGTGGGATCAGTCAAGAGTCATTCCTTCTTAGATACATTCGCACTAAGCTAAGTAGTATACTTATAAAGTATAGTTTTCAAATATATCACGATCAAAATTTAAATAATTTTTATTTTCGACGTCTTATCATTGAACAAGTGCATTGATCATTAATCTCTATAAGATTTATGGAATTTTTATTTATCTTTATCGCTCATATGACGGTTACAGGATATAGAAACCATTATACATAAATTTATTTAAGTTAATTTTAAAAGCAAAGAATTTATTGCAATCGATCGGTTACTGATTATTAGAAGCCTAAAAAAAACGAATCTAATATATAAGCATAAATAAACACTAGTCCCTAACACACCCTTAAGCTTAGCATAGATTAAATACAAGTGGAAAAGCTAAGGTCGGGTGTCCCTGAGTACTCATATCAGGCATTTTTTATGTCTCTAGGTCGCATAGTTTCCGAGATCTGGGTGTTCACAGAGACAGACAGACGGACAGACAGGGTTAGAACGGGTTAGCTGTAATACTTTCGGAGATCCTTGGATTCGAAGAAACATTTGGACATCTCTAAAGCGATTCGTCTAGTCTTGTTTGTGTGTGCATACATATGTGTATACACGTATATTGAGATCCCACAACCTTTCCCTGTTATGGGGGCTACTGGACACTTGTATAAATAAGTTGAATAATGTGGCTCGAAAATTTAAAACTAAATTCCAATTTGGTTCAAAATATGAAGTCTAAGTTCGAATAGCCCATATTTTTATCCTGGCTTAATCCAATTATAAATTTCAGTTTAAACACCACACACAGCGTGGACCTGCTGGAAAAACACAGAAGCATATGGACACAAATGTATTGCTACAGACACTACTTACTACTACTAATAAATTATGATCTAACTTTTCGAAACTACTTGGTATAACTGTCTAACGTTCAGATTGCATACAATATTTTTAAGATCATCCCTATAGCAGCAATGTGATAAAATATTTAAAAGTTTATAACAAACCGAAATCTAACCAATAACAGGATATTATTTATTTTAAAAATTAAACATTTTTGTTTGTTCTATTCCTTTGGGTCCATCGAACTAAATCTGACAGCACCGCTTAGAGTATAACATAATCGTCATTTTTTAAGGAGTGCTATCATTTATTTCAATGATTATTGTCCTGATATTATTTTCAAATTGTCTTACCTTTAGCATTTTTTCTTCACATTTGTTTCAAGTAACGACGTACAAGAATTTGCTGCCAAAACGAATCGTAAGCAAACCTTCTGGAGCGCTGATGACGGTATCAAGGTGGGTTTGGACGGGTGTAATTTTCTTGTTGCTTTAATGGCTGGACGCGAATTTGATGACATAGACGACGAGGAAGTTTTCATTTTGATTTTTATGCGTAGCAATGTGTTTTTATACAATAACAGTTGCGATTGCACCAAACATGAAGTAGGGACTTTTAACAAACAGCACAACAAAAAATAAACAATAGAAATTTAACAAGACGGAAGCACAACGAAGTCGATCGTAACGTGGGCAGCACCAATTCCGATTATTTATGTGGTAATTGTCTCTGAACCTAAACTCATACTGTCTAGGTATCTATGAAGGCGCAGTAATTAGCATTGGCAGCGGAAATTGTCAAATTACGGACGAATTATTTTTAAAGCCACTTCAATGCATTCACATGTACACGTTTTTTGCAGCGTCTTTGCTCCCAGTTGCAGGACTGGGCTAACCATTCAGTCGACATTAAAATTATATTCAAGAGGGAGCGCCGCGTCTGCTTGTGGCGAACGCTACGGAATTGCCTTCTCAAAGCATTTTGTTTTTGCAGTTTGGATAAAGGCAAAAGCCAGTTGTTCAACAATTTGGAATTCCTTAACACTTAGCACTTTTTAATGTATTTCTGTATTCCTTTTTTGTGTATTTTTATGGAATGCCAACTTTTTGCTTCTACAAATTTGGTGTTTTCATGGACGTTTTGTTTGTTATCTCGATGTTTATATAGTACACGAACAGAGCCCGAGCACTTACGTGCGAATTTTCACTAGATTTTTTATAAACAATGTTAATTGTTGAAATGAAAACACGGACCTAAGTTTCTGCTTCTTTATTTGCCGACGCATGTTAAGGTGGCCGACCTTTTTTTATTTTAATACCAACGCGGTATTTTTTTTCCTTTATAGTTTGGGCCCACCACTTGCGCATTGCCAGGGTGGCTTAAAACATAACCATGAGTGTTGGTTCATAAAATTAATACTGCTTATATTCAACTATTTTATAATGAGTTTAATTTTTATAAACGAGTACTATCAATCCTATATTTTTATACATTGGGTCTGAAAAGAAGGTTGCCTTCGACTTATCAGTAAATATGAATGTATTGAGAATTTTTGACTGTCCATCCCTGGCTAAGCGTTGAGCGAATTAGGCGAAAATGGTTTGCTTAAATCAATCATTAGTTTTTATTGGGAATGGCAACAAGAAAATTACCGTTCGTGAATAACCAATTATGATGCCTTTTCACTATTTTATTTTCCAATATTAAGACCAAGAGTAAGATGTAAGTTGCACATGTATGTGTGTATGAAACCTTATAACCGTCATATTTCTTAAATTCAAAACTCGTCTGCATTATTTCAACTATTTGAATCAATAACGTAAATACGAGTATTATTTTAATAAAAATTTAGGCCATACTTCAATATATTTGCCTTTTAATTTTAAAGATAAACATACAATTCATTTTATAAATTACATACATGTATGTACATTAGATATTTCATATGTACTATATCAACTAAACTTATTTTCGCTTAATTTTGGAGTTGTATCATTTGGATCAATGTAATTAATCGGCTACAACGTGTACTCTATCCCAAAGCCGGATATGATTATGTTAACAACTGATATTACAAACACCATCGCCAATATAATATCGTTCAAAATATTTGCCGCTGCTTGATCTTTACGTTTATTGATATTAAGACTTCCGATAACCACAAATAGAATTCCAACCAATATCTGTGGAAACGAAAAGCAGAATTGTGCAGGAATTAGACATACATACATACGTGTGTACATACATACATATGTATATGTACATTTATTTAAAAAACAATTTGTGATGTACTTAAGAAATATACATAGATGCTCTATTCGTCGTTACTAAAAGCTAATACACCCATAAGATATGTAAAGGTTACTCTGTTGGAGAAGGCAATCGACTGTCGAATGCGGATATAAAAACATTTATCATTGTTGTAAAGAAGGCAAATGCTGTGCGGACGTGGTTAAGCGCGTTCGCCGATTGGTGAAATTCCGGCTGATCCAAGCGGCAGTCTCGGAAAAGACTTAACGACAGGCTTAGAATGCCGGAAAGGATCTATGGTGTTCGAAAAGGTTCGTTATAACCCCAATGCAAAGAAAACTTATTGTGTTATTCCCGACTTTGGTTCTTTAAGCTGTCCCATGTAAAATGAGAAAATCTGTCACGGTTCCGCTTTACCAAAGTCTGGAATAGCCCTATTTTTTTACATGTACCTGCAACACAATTGATAAGCTTATAAGAGTAAGCATCAGCGTATAAAACTGATGCTGTTTGCCGACGTGGAGTATGTACTTGAGCTGGGACGCGTTCGCAGTTAATAGAGCTATGTCCAGCATGCCTTGGGCAATCGTTTTTTTGGTGGCATATCTATTGGCATCCATGGTTTTTATCTGAATATGGAATACAGAAAACATATAGAACCAAAGAATGCAATTAATAATATATTTACAATTAAATGTACCAGTTTGCGCTGACTTTAAGCTCTTTTTTTCTAGTCATACACCCACAGCTATAAATTCTGGCCCCAATTGGTCGTTCATATTTATTATCTATCATGTTTTTGGTCTGAGTACAAATAACCGAATGCATTTCGCAACTCAAAAAGCAATTAGTTAAAAGCTTTGAAAACGTTCAAACAAATTTAAAAATAGCAACAATTACTTAAATTACTCTTATTTTTTTTAACGCTAGCATGAGGAGCTGAGCCGATATAGCCACGCCCGTCTATTTGTTGTATCCAAACTTATTTGTATGTTTAAAAGCTATAGAAATATCGTTTGAACGATCTGTTTTAGAAACAGTCCTTTGCGAAGCTGATTAAGGTTGGTATCATAATAATTTTTTAAGATTTTCATTAAATTTAATTAGTTTAATTAGTTCTTTCTTTAGAAATCTATCTCGACAAAATTTTCTATATACTATATGTATGTGGTTCTTAAAATTTTACAATGCATACAGAACTGCCATGGAAACAAACAGGTGTTTAAGTCTTTGAATGAAAAATTGATTCTATGAAGATATTGGCAAAATTTGGTATTCGGAAGCTTATAGCAATAACCAATGAAACCCAACACATTTGGAAAAAGTATTTGTATGGAAAACTGAACTTTGGAACTTTTACGACTTTTGTTTTTTAAATTTAGCATACAACATAAATATAAAACATATTTACATTTTCTGGAAATAACCTACCCTAGCAGACGAATTATAAAATCAATATACAAGTAAGAGTTGAATGTCGTTATTACCTTTTCTTTTCGGAAAATTGGTCTCACAGGAGTGTAAAAAACAAAAAATTCATTGTTTTCACTTTCATTGAATTGGGGTACAGAAATGTATTTATTTTGTTTCATTTATTTACATAAATTTGTACTCGAATGTTTATATACAATCAATATTACGCATTTTATTCATATAAATTTGATTTATTTGTACCACCAATAAAATGAAAGAGACTTTAGATTTGTAATTACCTCAGCACCGTTAACTTCGTTAAAAATGGTAACTTCGGGCATCGAAAAAAACGATGTTCTCAGTTTAAACTAAATTAAACGATTGGACGTTACGCATCAATGCTCTCAAAAACGACTATTGCGGCCAGTTAAACAAAACAAAAAAAAAAAAAAAACGTTGCTGTGTAAACTAGTATTAATGTTGATGGGCTCCGTTGCCTGGCTACTGTCTTTTAGACACAACCAAACGATTAAACAAGTGATGGTAAACTGATTGCGAACGAATCGCGCACTACTTAGTCGTGCCCCAGCCTAATGAGGTATACGGAGCGGAAAGCGCTAAACATGATAAAAGTAGCATTTTTTATTTAGGAATACTTCATATTTTTTATTTAATATGCCTAGTATGGATAGAAGAATATGCTAGACTTTTATTTAAAGATAATTGTTTGGTTATTGCTTAAATCTTTTCGATTCATTAAAAAAAAAAAATTATATTCTATACTCAAATGGTATACTAATTTAATGCGAATGTACGTAACACACAGAAGAAGGCGTGGCAGACCCATATATACATATATTCTTGATCAGTATAACAAGACATAGTCTTGCCCGCCTGAATGCAAGGATCGCAGAAAGTATGAGCTAGAATAGACAAACTTGGCATCCGGATTATCCATAGCTAGAGAAAGGGCTGAATGAAAGTTTCTCCGAGTCAGGGTTAGCCGGAGAGCAAATAAAACTATCTAAAATTTGTTATTAGAATAATAAAATGAATAAACTTTTTAAGGTTTGTATATACACAAGAAAGGAAAGCTATTATTGCCGGCAAGCCCGATCGAGCAAACGAACTCGAGCTGCAGTCCATTGTCGTAGTGCTGTTGTTATATGGTTTCGCTAATATCTATATTTTACCTGTTAGTTACTTACCTAATATAGCCTTTTTACGCTTCAAAAGGTATACAAATATTGAATTTCGTAATTAAAAATTAATTTAAAAATTTAATCATCTACTTTGCTTTATGTACAGTTTATTATACGGTAAGTACTGATTACAATATTGTCGATTGGTTGAAAGTTTGGTTCAAATTATGGTCTTTTATGACTCTCCTAATATAATGTTTAAAATCGATATCGTGCCTGTCAGCACAGCGAACATTTTTCACTGCAATACGATAACTTGAAAGTAATTGTAGAAACACCGCATTTGGTCATTAACACAGAACACATTATGACTCAGTTCAGTTAGAAAACCGGTCAGGCGGACAAGATTTTAATTGGCAGTTCACCCGAAATGTCAGAAGTTTAAGAAGGATAGATACATAGGTCATGTTAAGCAAATTGGATTAATTTACATATCAACTAAAATAAACTGTGTTCGTAATCACAAATTGCCACTAATTGTTACTGGTTGCCTTATGCGCCGTCAAAGGACTCACGCTCGCCCTGAGGCAGCGTGGAGGTGTCCCAATTAAGCGAACGGTCAATAGCCATTTTCCACTTTTGGTACCGTAAATTGCGCTCGGTACCATTGATTAAAGGTTTGATAGGCTCCCTAGCTGCTGTATTCGAAAGCGACGATTCTATAGAATATCGTTGATCAACTGCTTTGTATGCTGCCATTGCAGCACCCTATAAAAAGAAAGTACAGGTCTTTTCAGTTGAACTTAATATAATAATACAATTATCACCTACCAGCGCAGTCGTTTCGGATATGTTGGCACGCACCACTTCAATGCCCACCAGATCCGATTGTATCTGCAGAAACAAATTGTTCACGGTCATGCCACCGTCCACCATCAGCTTGGACAGAGGTATCTTGCAGTCCTTGTGCATAGCATCAAGTATATCGCGCACCTGGAAACAAATTGATTCCAATGTTGCCCGAACAATGTGTTCGGATGTAGTCTCTTCGCTGAGGCCACAAATGACGCCGCGGGCATCCTGGTTCCAATACGGAGCATACAACCCATTAAAGGCTGGAACAAAGTACACGTCCAAGGGTTTGCCGTCATTGGAAACACTGTTAGCCATAGCCTCGATTTGTGCCGTATTTTGTATAATGCCCATGTTATCGCGCAGCCAATTGAAAGCCGCACCTGCAATAGAGACACTGCCTTCCAACGCATAATGTGGGGTAGCCTTGCGACCTAGCTGGTAACCAACAGTCGTCAGCAGCCCATTGGAGTTCACAATCGAAGTGCCTGTATTATAAAGCAAAAAACATCCAGTGCCGTAGGTTGCTTTGGCCTGCCCTTTAGAAAAACATTGTTGTCCGACAAGTGCGGCCTGCTGATCACCCAGATCCGCGGTAATGCTGGTACCCTGTAGCACACCATCAGCAAGGGTGCCAAAATATTCAGAGCTCGAACAAATCTCCGGCAAGATGCTCTTTGGTAAACCAAAAAATTTGAGAAGATTGTGATCCCATTCCAGCGTCTCTATGTTCATGAGCATTGTACGCGAGGCATTCGTCACATCCGTTTTGTGCACGCCGCTATTTTTTCCACCGGTAAGATTGTACATTAGCCATGTATCAATGGTACCAAACATGGCCTGACCGTTATCCATGGCTTTCCTTATCGACGTAACATTATCGCGCAACCACCGCAACTTGACCGCCGAAAAGTAGGGCGAAAGCGGCAATCCACAAAGCGGACGCAAATAGTTAATTTTGGCACCACGCGCACTGTTTGGTATCGTTTCAAGCAACTCCTCTACTGTGGTACTGGTCCTGTTATCTAACCAAATAATCGCATTTGCAAGGGGCAATCCGGTGGTGCGGTCCCAAACCACTGACGACTCTCGCTGATTAGTAATGCCAATAGTGACAATATCCTGGATAGGTGTATGTGTAAATTGGTATTAGTTTATCCTAACAAATAATACTTAACGACAATAGTTAGCTAGTTTGTCTGATCACTAGAGCTTATAAAATTGTGTGCAATTTTATGTGAGTACATACCTTTATGCTCCCACCGAGGTCTGTAAATTTTTTGCATGCGACGGCGATACATTCATTGACAGTGTTCACTATAAAGATAGGATCTTGCTCGCACCACCCCTCTTTTGGATAAATGGAAGGAACTTCAATCTGATGGTAACATATGATGTTGTCTGTGCCAGCTTCGAACACAATGAATCGCACTGATGTGGTACCCGCATCGATTGCACCAACAAACGGCCCGGATAAGCTTTCCTTACTCTCCATTGCCTGTTCCCTTTGTTATGACTGAATCGAACTTTGTCCGAGCCTAGTGTCTAAGCGATAGTTTCGCGTATGTATATTGGTAATTACTAAATTATTCGACTGCTTCGAGGTCTACGATAAGAGATAAGGAACTGAACAGAGATTGTTGTCGTTTTGAGCTGAACTAGTTCAACGATACGTTATACAGTGGAGCCCAGATACAAAGAAGGGTATAGAATTACAACGAGCCGTATTTTTATTATTATTTAATGGTAACACGAAGTCCATATAAGTAAGTGGAGATGTTAGGTATTTAAATATTTAAAAAAAGTTGTCAATTAAACATAAACAAAAATCTTGAAGAAGCGTGACTAATGAGTAAGCGCACAATTAGGATATTTTCCCCTGTCGTACTTTCGCACTTTTCAGCAGTAATTTTGTGAATGTGCGTACGGGTCATAAGAAAACTCAAATCTTCGATAATTGCAATTTTCAATTAAATTTATTTATATCATCATGAGATGAGGTACTTAGATTATTTTGCCACCCAATGCTCATTAATAATTTATTTGTTTTTTTAAATGAAATTAAAACCATTTATCGCAATCGAACGATTATTTCCTCATATCAACTCTGCCCATAGCGCAATTTGGAATTTTGACCGCTTATATAGACGTGCTATTTGTTTTTAAAAGTGTTCCAGAAATGGCAGACGCGGATAGCGATAATGTAATTCGCGTGTTGGTGGCAACCGACAATCACTTGGGCTATGCTGAAAAGGATCCAGTGCGTGGAACGGACAGTTTTACAGCTTTCGAAGAGATCTTAGAACTCGCTGTTTCAGAAGATGTTGATATGATATTGCTCGGTGGAGACCTGTTTCACGACTCTGTTCCTAGCCAAAACTCAATGCATAGGTAAGTGACGGCAAATATATGATTTTCAGTTATTACCATTATGGTGAAATCATAATCCGTCGTTTAGGTGTATTGAACTGTTGCGTCGGTACACATTCGGCGATAAGCCCGTTTCTTTGGAGGTGCTAAGCGATCAGACGCTGAGTTTTCACAACACAATTAACCAAACCGTTAATTATGAGGATCCTAATTTAAATATTTCCATACCGGTATTTTCTATACACGGAAATCACGATGATCCTAGTGGTTTTGGACGCCTAAGTTCATTGGACCTATTAAGCACATCTGGCCTAGTAAATTACTTTGGGCGCTGGACAGATCTTACTAAGCTGGAGATTAATCCCATATTGCTGCGCAAAGGCGAAACTCAGTTGGCCTTGTACGGACTCAGTCACATAAACGACGCACGATTGACTCGCCTCTTCAGGGACTTTAAGGTGACTATGAATTGTCCTGGAACGGCCGAGGAAGAGTGGTTTCATCTTATGGTTGTGCATCAAAACCGTGCGGACCGTGGTCCAAAGAACTATCTGCCGGAAGAATTGCTGCCAGCTTTTCTACATATGATTATTTGGGGTCACGAGCATGATTGCCGTATCGTGCCGGAGTTGAATGTAAAGCGAGACTTCTATGTAACGCAACCCGGTTCCTCAGTACCCACTTCGCTTTCGGAAGGAGAGTCCCTAAAGAAACACGTGGGCCTTTTAGAGATATACAAAACAAAGTGCCAACTAAAGCCTCTGCCACTGCAGACTGTGCGTCCATTTATCTTCGAGGCAATTAATCTGGCTGATTACGAAGAAGAGTTGGAACTTAAAGAGGGTGATGCAGCCACTAGAGCTTACAGCTTTGCACGGGAACGTGTAGAAGCAATGATTGTGCGTGCTATGGAGTTGCGCACAGGACACCCAAAGCAGCCAATAGTCCCCTTAATACGCTTGCGCCTGATGTTTACTGACGAGTCGTATATGTTCAACACAATTCGCTTCGGGCAAATGTTCGAAGGGCGCGTGGCCAACGTTTCCGATGTGGTCCAGTTCAAGAAAGTAGTTAAGAAAGTCAAAAGTGATACACTCGCCTTAGACAAAGAGGCAATGAAACGTGCATTCGAGAAGATGGTAAATAGCAGTGATAATTTTTTTATGGACACTACTTACAACTCTGCATCCTCTAGGAGGTTGAGAATACTGCACGAGTCGAGGAGTTGGTCGATCGCTATTTCGATGAGGTAAAAGATAAGAATCCATTGAAGTTGATGCATTCCAAGGCGCTGGCCGAGATGACATATCGGCTGGTCGAGCGCGTCGACGGCAATGCGGCTGAAAATATCGTTAAGTGAGTTGAAGGGTTAAGGACGTGAGTAGTTATTAACAAAATAATTTTTTTTAAATAGATTTTACAGAGAAAAAGCAATTGAGCATTTAATGGAAACACTACCAAGTGATGAGAACGTAGATAATGAGCTGGCGAATTTCAGAACGCGGTACAAACACGATGACCTGCTGAAAATGCTAGACGCACGAGGAGCTCAAGCAGTACCTCTTAAGTGCAATGCCTTAAAGAACGAATCTAACATTATAGTAAAGGGGCCCACTGCGGTTAACCGTGGTCGTGGACGTGGTCGAGGGGCTGCTGGCAGTTCCACAAGTTCGCGCGCGAAACCGCAATTGAACGTATCTGTCAACACAACTGTAAGATCTAAGAGACCCGAACATTAGATGATGTTATCCTCTAAACTGAGTTTGCTCTATTCTTCCACAGCGTTCTTCAGGCAGGAATCAGTCCATTTTGAATGCCGCTAGCAGATCCAAGAATAAAGTATATCTAATATCAGATGAATCCGATTCTGATAATTAAGTGTAGTAAGACCGAAATCTATTTTTTATATTCCATTCCGAAAAGTGTTTTTAATAAATAACAGTTTAAATAGTTTTCATTTTTTTATGCGTATGTTTTAAAATACATGAGTACAAGTTAGGGTACTTGATATTAGCTGAAGCATGCACACTTTAATTGGATTGCAATCTAAATAAGGCTTTTGAAGATGTATGTATTTTAAAGAAACTAAAAAGTCTTTCTATGCACGGCACGTTGACCCTCTTCTTCGTATTCTCGCTTTGATATCCACATTTTTTTAAAGGTGTCCAGCGATGCCAAAATTGAGCCTCCCATCCACGTGGAATAAAGGCGTTCCTGAGGCGCAGCAATCTAAGCATAAAATGCTTGTTTAGTATACGCATTAGTATTACGAAAAAATACCTACTCTGATCTTAAGATCCTTTGCAGAGTGTTTTCTGAGTTCTGACAACAAGCGATCCCCGAAACCTTTAAAAAGGGTTGAGCCGCCCGAGAGGACAATGTTTTGATAGAGCATTTTTCTGAGATCCATATCCGACTTCTCGATGGAGTACATCAGCACGTCATGTATGCCCTCACACTCCTCGCCCAGCAGATCTGGTCGAAAAAGAACTTCTGCTGCTCGAAAACGGGCCTGTCCGATCTCAAATGTTTTACCATCTGGTAATTTATATGGGAACTTTTCCGTCTCGACAGTCTCCTCTTTCTGTGGATTTGTAGCCAGATAGCAAACCTTCTCCTTGATCGACCGTACAATTTCAAATTCAGCTGTTGATCGAAAGTTGAAGCCTTCTCTGCGTAAAAGTGTTTTTAAGTATCGCGTTACGTCGCGACCAGCTATATCAACACGCATAATACTGTGGGGCATAGCAAATCCTTCGTAGATTGGCACCGCATGCGTTACTCCATCGCCAGAATCAAGCACAACACCTGTCACTCGACCGGTGGCGTAACTGTAAAATTCGGAATAGTTTAGTTGTGTATGGCCCATGGAGGGATGCCAGCACGATTCTCACAGACTAAGTACAGCTTGCATGGAAACAAAAAGGGCTGGTGCGTTAATGCCTTCGAAGAAGAACTCAGCCGCCTTCTCCCGGTTTCTGCGGGGGTTAAGCGGTGCTTCTGTCAGCAGCACAGGATGATCTTCTGTAAACGTGGCCAATTGTTCCTACCATTTTGCGAAAAGAACGCCATATTTTATTATATGCTAAAATTAAGCCATAAGACTTACTTTACTATAGATATAACTCCATATTCGTTCCATGTCATTCCAGTCCGTCACTATGCCATGCTCCATGGGGTACTTTATACTAAGTAATCCACGATGTTCTTCTGCCTTGGGTCCGACGAATATGTCGCCCTCTAAAGCGCCTGCCATTACTCGAACGTGCTTGGGTCTCCCAATGCTGTAAAAGATTTAAAACTTTGAAAGCACTGATTGGCAAGGGCTAACATTGAACTTACTAATTGGGAAACCGGCACTTTGGAATGTGCTCGCCAGCAAACCCGGCCTTTATAACACCGGATCCCTTTAAAATTGAGATTTTATTTAAATCAAGTAGGATGTAAATATTGGTTCTTATTCTAGTTTTAATATATTAAGTAGATACGAATTTTATTTGCAACAAGACACTAATATTTTTGTAGCCCAATTTAATAGTTCGGTGATGCTTCGCTATTGCCACGCATGTGTGGCATTAATTAGGACCGTAGATTTGTTTCGTTGAAATATAGCGAGGAACCTTTAAGCTAACATTTACCTACCCGGCCAATGTAGTCTGACATCAGCGTTAAATTTTATAGATACATAAAAAACATATGATTTACAAAATTAAATTCGTTTACGCATTGATTTACATTATATATATATGTACATATGTACCAGCTGTCGCAGCAACTAAATTAGTTGTTGACTTTATTAACATAAAACAAATTTTCAAGCCATGCATCGGGTTATATTTTTATTGCCGTAAAACGGACGGCCTACTAGGCAGTGCCTAGTCCAGCTGTAGTTCGGCTTTGCAATATTGGTGATGTCATGTCACTACCATAAACTAAGGCTGCAACCGCCTACATTTGGCCCTTTCAGATTTCTTATTCAGCGATGATTTACTCACATTATCTATGACAACAGGCTGGTTGACTACAACATCATAGGGCTCCATTTGTGCGTTTTTTCGTCCTAATATTACTACTTTACTATTTTTGCAAAAAACGATACAACTACAACACACTTATATGTATGTCTGCGATAAGTCTCTGAATCATCGAGTTAGTATTTTTGGTATGCATAATTACCACAAATAAATCCGTATGCCTAATTTTGGACAAACGCATAGTTATCGATTATTATCGTTTTGTATTCATTACTTATACTATTTTTATTTTGAGGATGCAATTTCCATAAAATTAAAACATCCATAAACCGTTGCCTGGATTATATATTATACATATTTGCGAAACAAATTGCACCATCGATACTATTATAGTTTGGGGATAAGCTTAAAACTCTGATATGGAAAATATACATATGTATGTACATCTGAGCGTACAAGTATACATAGTTGTAATTCATACCCATGTATTGAAATATTTCTGCTGGTTTATTTAAAGTCATTTACAAGGAAACCATTTATTGTATGTATATATACATATAGGACAAAATATAATTTAAAACCAGTTGATCAGGGGTTAACTGAATCCGTTGCAGGTAAATGGTAAATGGTTGGTCGCGGGGAATCACGCAGCCCATTTCAAAATGGACGACTACTCTTTGAGCTCATAGCGCTATGAGGTTCTGAATTGAGATTCGAATCGGCTCGGAGTTGTGAAATTTTCAGCATAATATGTACATACATTGATCCTTGGAATATGGATGGATGCGAGTAGCTGCAAAATGGTCCCAGGAGCCATGTTCAACACTTACAGCGACCTTTAACGCAGGGATATCTGAATGACTAATAGGGTATAAAAATAAAAATGGATAGCTTTTCAGCGCGAGAGTGAAGCTATAAAGCAAATGAGGTATGTATGCCCTTTTCTGTCGATTTGTTTTATCTTTAATTCGAAAGAATTTTGTACATTTTTAACAGTTTGTCAGTATGGTCGCCATTCGCAACCCACGAGTGATGCAAAACGAACGAAAAAAGTCAATATAAGGTTTGTGCATAGTCTGAAACAGGGAGAAGAAAGTATCTTCGACCCTATGATCTACTCTTAATCAGCATGACGAGAGAAATCGATTTAAGCATGTCCGTCTATTTGGATGAACGCGTGGATTTCGGAAACGACTGATCCAATACGGAAGAAATTTTGTATTTAGACTCTTTTAACCTTTAGGCAATAGGAGTTTATTCCATTTTTTGATATTATACATATGTAAATCTACCTTGTTTTAAAGTTAATTGAAATCGGTTAGTTCTACAAAATGTTAAAAACAATACAATTCTACTCTAGTACTACGCGTAGGACCTAAAGCAGCGCGTTCGGCCTTCTTATTTTCAGTGCTGCTATAAAAAACCATTTAACAACACATATAACATACTTTTTTGGGTACAGTGTATAACACTGTCGAGTTTGTGAGACTTGTTTATTGTTGGGGATGTTATTGTTGCGTACTGTTGTTGGAGGGGGCCATTCACTAGAACAAGTTCGATGATTATTCAAGTGTTAGTTTAAGAAAGCGCACAATATTTGGTGATATCTTTGTCCAAATAAGGAAGGAAATGTATACATATGTATGTAAAATAGTTTATATATATATATACATATATATACATATGTATATACAAATTAATAAACTTATCGTATGACATAACAATATCGAATTTTTTTCTCGATATCCTTGCACGGTTACATATTTGATGGATTGCATTCAGTGGATGAGCTCCTTTCTCTTGTCGCCTGAGCAAACTTTGATAGTTCTTTAGTCGTATCGCTTACAGCATAAATATGGTGTGGAATAAAGTGTTTTCTATTCCCTGGTACTTTAATATATGAAATCACAAAAATACTAGTAGCATGTAAGTTTAGAGCAATATGATTAGTTAGTCAATTTCTAATTACGATTTTAGTTTGCTTAGACAGACGCCTAGTAAGAGTTATTTTACACGAATTCTGTTTGTTTGGCAGTCAATGGCAACCTTGAGGTCATATACCCTTTAAGTGTCAAAGAAAGTAATCGTCCGAAGCTCTTACCGGACGTTTTCTTTGATCTCACATGGGTGTACGAAGACCGGACAAAGCGTCAGCGGAAGTATCTACTTAATAGTAATTGGACTCGGCGCAGTGCACACAACATCTTCAGTTTCTAATTCGACGAATTGATGAAGCTAAAGTGTTTGCAATTTGTCTGTTTTTGTTTGTGGCAAGTTCATATTCTGATCATGCGATTTACTTAGAGTTGTTGAAATTTTCCTGAAGCCCGCTTCCTAGAGTCCTGCAAAAAATATTCTTTAGCAAGTGGAACAAACCCAAAGTCCGCTCATACAAGTTTGTGCGTATGTTTGTACATATGTACATATAGTAAGTATGAATATCTGTTCATATGTATTTGCATAATGGGACTGACTGCACTTCATTTGAAAGCGCCGACGCTGCCAATACAATGCTCTCGCTCACTATTTTTGTTTACTGCCGAGCGGAACGCAAAGAAACGCTGCAGGTCGTTGATAAGGCGCCAACGCTGCAAACGCAAGTGTGTGAAATACTTTACCTCCTCTTGAAATATAATTCATATAATTTCTTCATTCCGCTGCCGGCAACGCAAGCGTTCGGTCGTGCTCTCATTCGATTCGCAACACCAAACTGCTGAGCGGCACAGTACTATATATTCTCGTATCCAATCGTCTGATACTCGAGGTTAATCGTGTGCGCGTTTCCGCTATTGTGGATCGGTAGGTAGGATAGGAATCAACTAAATATAAACATCTATGTGCATATGTACAATTGTACTTACATACCTACATACATACATGGGTGTCAAAACAACATTTTTTGAAAAATTGACGGCTAAACCTTAAATGTGATTGCCGGCTACTTGCAAGCCAAGCGTTTATAACTCAAAGTGTGCGAAATCTAGAGTAGATTGCATTCATGCATTCTGTTGAAACGTGATGGCAATGTCAATGCCGTCGCTGCTTTGGGTGCCAAGTCGAAGCTCTTGGCCATTAATGCTGCGCGACTATGCACATTGCCCGTGAATATTTGGCTTGTTCTGCAGTTTTCGTTGTCGCCCAAGTATGAAATACAACCCAGCGAACTTAAGCATTGGGAATTGTATAACATGCTACATACATATGCTACATATGTACATACATATGTATATAACAATGAACATAAATCCGTTTAAAGATCTATCCAGCTACAACTTGCGTTCTCCGCAATTAAATCAACAGAGATATTAATAAAAACTACTTAGCTAAATGCAATTTGAAATAAGTAGTAATAATGAGAAATGTTTGTTTTTCCATTACATAAAAATCTAATTTTAGATATTTTTTGGGAAATGCGTTCAGTTATGTTCAGTTCACAGACTATGCTATGTAAATATATTGCAAAAATATGGGCATTCCTCTGTAAAGACCCGAAGATAACAACAACTTACAAATGCAAATACTGTGAAATTGTCCCGAAACCGGAAAAATTTAATTAAAAATCAATGATGAGGCATATATGGCACATATATTTTATACTTACATGACAAATGAACATGACTTATGAAAGCTAGTTTCATGTTTTTAGTTAAGTTCTAATTATATTGTAGCGGAGTTCGAGTAACGCATTTGACAATACAATCCATTCGCCTTAGCAAGAGATAACGTTTTGCATATTAAGTTAGGAATTACAAAAATGTTGTGGTCGTGGGTACCCGTACCCGTACCCGTATGTCATAACAAATGTCAATGTCTGGAGCTAACTGCAACGCGTCGTCTCCTATCCAAATTTTATTTACACGCGCGCTTAATGTAACACTAAATCCATCGGCAAACTAAGATAATCGTCTCTGTAGGCGAAACGTTGCATCATAATCTTTTGTTTGAAGAGCAAAGGGTGTTGGTTAACATGAGACCGGCAGCAACTTACATCTAAAAATCCTTACTTCTTCCTATGAATATACATATGTATTCTTATCAAGCAATCCGAAGCAACATTTTTTTTTTTCTATTTACAATATTTCAAATCAATGTGTGTTTTGTTTTAAATTTGAATCGTCAAGTTCTTTACTCTAGAGTATAGACCGATAAAGCCCACACACATCCATAATATGTGCATACATATGTACTATATGTATGTAAATAGCTGTATAATCTATTACGATAACTTTTATTCCAGCATACACGTGACTCCATGGCAGAGAACGAGCTATTGAGCAACCAACAGAGTCATGCAAATGCTCGCATATTGCGCTCGGAAGAGCCGGCAGCCAATGGCGCCAAATCGAACAGCCTGGAGCTGGTAAATGGGAGACATTTTGAGGCGCCTTGCTGTCGGGACATACACGACAAGGAACCGCCGGATGGCGGGGCGCGTGCCTGGCTCGTGATGCTAAGCGCCTTCCTGTGCAACGGTGTCATCTTTGGTTTCATTAATACTTACGGGGTATTGCATTCCTTGTTAACTGACCGCCTCACTGAGAAGGGCGACACGGATGCCTCCAGCAAAGCGGGTAAGTCAGACGTCTGCTTGTAGACACAATTCCCGCAAAATTGACAAACTATGACTATGATGAGGCGCACAAAATTTAGCCTTCTTTACTGAAAATTCAGAATATTTGTAAAAATAAACATATTATTCATCGTATGTGAATAAAGGCATGAAGTTAGTCCTTCCTATGTATGTAGGAATGTATATAGTAAGTAGTATGTTAGGTACAATTTTTAAAGTAAATCATTCACAACAAGAATGTTATGGTAGAGTCGTGTAGCAAAGACACATCTAAATCTTCAAACTTTCAAAAATAAATATTAAAATATATATTTTAAAATTTAGCTAATTCTCTGGTACTAGTATATATAGTATATACATGTTCGCATGTGATTTCAACACTTTTTCCATAAAGTTATAAAAAAAAAACTAGTTTTGAATGATTGATTGATTTTAAATTTAGATTTTACAAGTATTGTCGTAGGTTCTTGGGATTTGTTTGAATACTATTAGAAACGCCATCTTGGCTTCTTTGTGTAGAGAGAGAGAGTCGTGAAGAGAGTTGATTTTAAAATAAACGTACCTGACCTCGTAAATAATTCTGCATGGCACCCACAGGTCTCGACCAGCTCGGTTGGCCTATCGCCTTATAAATAGCAAAGACAATAAATGACATTTAATTGTTAAAGCCACAGTTACGCATACGGTCCGACTACGCTAAAAGCTACACATGTGTTAAAAGTAAAAGCTGTGGCAAAATACTATACTCGTATGTACTATATGTGTGTGAAAAGAAGCATATTGCCGTACTCTTACCACTGACCCAGTTACTACCTGTCTGGCGTTGTGCAAATGCAAATGCTGTTGAAGCACCTTAAGTGCAGTGCTTGACAGCGATCCTCAATTGGCCATATCTACTGCTGTCGGGGCAGACATTATTTCCGCGATATGATTAACACCGGCCGTAATCCGAGATGACAGCTTTAAGAAGTATGCCATATTAGATATTCTGTTCGAATCATTTCTATTGTAACGTGTCTGAAACGAAAATTCAGACCGATAAGCAAAAGAAAGAAAAGCGAAGCTAATTGATAGGTCACGAAATTTATTGTAAATGCCAATTGACAGGTTAATGTCAAATATATATCAATGGCTTAATAGAGCTCAATTAATTATAAAAACGACGCCGACAAATGCCGAGGTTCAATGCCATGTTATAAAAAATCCCGATTGGGAGGAGGCCATATTTGCCTGGCCATTGTATACCCTGTATGTACTTTCGAAAAATCTGTGCCAGAAATTGCAAATTAAATTTTTAAAAATGCTACTCAAGATGTTATGCTGATCAAGAAAATATTTACTATACATACTTTGTAATGTGTGGCATGTCTGTATTTGGCTTTATTTCATAATACCCTTTTATTCTTCAGGTACTGGGCCTAAAAGTAGAATTTTTTTTATAAATACTACACATTATTGCCTTAGAATTAGATTGATTTCATTCCGTAATATTAAGAAGTAGCGTAGATCAAGGCAGGTCTGATTGACTGATGGTGCGGTCAGCAACTCTTGCCAGAGCTAGCTTTGATATTGAATGTCGCCGATGCTTTTTTTTTAATTGTTTATATGTATGTATGTATGTACATATGTACAACTTTTGTTTTTATTCGCATGAACTTAATTTACGCAATTGTATTGGTTTCAATGATTGTCTGTAATCAAAGCTGGACTTAAATTTTAGCTATATTGTAGTTCACATGTTCGTATTCGTTCTAACAATAAGATTATGCGTTACTATTTATATTACCCAAAATCTGTATTTATACAAAACAAAACTAAAGTCATGGGTCAATGACTTTTCGAAATAAAAAGGCGAGAATTTGGCGTTATCAGCTTGGTATTAATTAACCGGGCAAACAATATTTACACTCATAAAGAGAAAAAGAATGGAATGGGCTCAACTTTTAAATACCCTGAATAAATGTATGTACCGCATATGTGAATGTATGTAACACACAGAAGGAGGCAAGGATCTCAGAAAAGGTGGGGCAGACGAAAGAAAAAACTTGTCCTTCCCCGAACTCGCGAGAATCTGGATACCAAAATTGGTTATCCTAGCGCTTATACTTTTAAAGGTTCTTGCGTTCATATGGACAGGTGGGCATTGCTAAATCGGCTTGTCTTCTCATGCTGATCAAGAATATATGTACGTGTATATACTTTGTGGGGTCTGTCACACACAACTCTAGCATTTCATTATTACTTTTTTCCAATTACATACTACTTGTATAGTTTGATTCGGGCTATCTGGCGTGTGCTCTGCCAGAGCTTTCAGTTAGTCCAAGTCGTAGTTTGAACCTAATATTTGACTGACAGATTTATGTTAATTCTTTGTTCAATAAAGACAAAAGATGCTCTACTTTTGATAAGAACTCAAACGAAAGAAGCCACTGATAATCCATATTAATGCGAATGTGCCTCATGTGCAATGCAAAAGTAAGCCACCTGATAGTGCAGCTCGGCATTAAGTGTACTCATGCTGCAGTTCAATAACCGAATCTAAGTATTTGATCTGAACGAGTACTAGTGCGTGAAGTGTGTGTCAGTTTTTTAATTCTTAATTGTTTGCTGTGACAGATGTTTTACATGCGATTACGACACCTATCATCTATGTTTAGTCAAGCGGTTAAGTTAACTTCGTCACTATCGTCAGGACTCTGGACAAATTGTTTGTAGCTTAAAAAATATTTAAGAATATTCACGTATGTTTTATTTTATGTAAAAACAAGAGAGAACGCTACAGTCGAGAAAGCCCGACAGTGTAATACCCTGTACCCAGGTAAACTTCCGTCACTGAGTTATATGCGCCCATAGCAGCAGCAAAAAGAGGAAGAAGAAGAGCGAACTTGTTGCTGCAGTTTGTGGGGGTTGTACTGGCGAGAATTTGTTTCGCTAATAACTTTTCTTAGAATTGACCGAATAAAATTGAACAACAGTAGACAATTATATATAAATTATGTGTGCAAAGTTTGGTTTAGGTAGCATTTGAAATGTGGACGCTATTGACGAAATTCTGTAGCGGGGGAAGGGGGGGGAAATTAAAAAAAATAAAATAAACTCGTCCTTACTCGGACCCAGGAGAATCTGGATGCCAACTTTGGTTATTCTAGCTTTTATAGTTTCTGAGATCCTCGCGTTCATCCAGACGGACAGACGGACGGACAGACGGACGGACATGTCTAGATCGATTTCTCTCGTCATGCTGATCAAGAATATATATACTTTATGGGGTCGGAGATGCTTCCTTCTGTATGTTACATACTTTGCACAAACCTAATATACCCTTTTTACCCTACGGGTACAGGGTATAAAAAGGTTGTGCCCGGTTTTTTAGAATTTTCCTTGGAGCCTGAACTATTGGATTTGTGTTTTAAACATTGTCCGATCGATTTCAAAATTGGGATAAATATCCAACATAACTAGATGTGCGACTTAGCATTCAAGCATGTTTTCAAAATAAAGAGATACGTTTTTTATCAAATATTATTAAATATCAAACAGTACAGCCACAAGGAAGTTAGAGACACGCATAGTCGGTGTTCTTTGTTTGTGGCACTTCGTTGCATTGCATTGACACACGTGTTGCGTTTCATATTGCTTCGAGCTTTCGTGCATGGTCGTGTTGACTCAATGAGGCACAAAGAGACACGCATGAGGAAATACGACAAAAATACGATACGATGCGATTGTGAGAAACTCTTAGAATTAGAATGATCTAACTGTTATTTGAGTTTTTTGCAAATATATATGCTATATATGCAATGTGAATTACTATTAATATTAATTAATATGTACAAAATAAATTCTATTCTATTCAGCATTATTACTTATTGTTGTCTACTTGTGTTATTGTTTATAATACTGAAAATGTTGTCCGATCGGACTACCACATGTGTTTGTTCTAAGTCCGAAGAGTTTGCTTAAAAGCCTACATTTGCATATATCTCGATAAAGCTATATTCATCTTGATCCAAAGGGCTCCTTTAAGTTACCGTTCGAAGCATCCTCCTTACTTAAAGACTAATGCAGTTCTAACTTAGTTTTGCAAAAGCATTATTTTACAAACTTTTTACCGATATCAAAGGTTAATCACAATTTGTAATTAATTTATATCCGACAAGGTAGTCTCTGCCTTTAAGGCGATAATATATTTATGATGAGAAGACTCATCTAATCCACACATTCTTCTGCTTGCGGATTTCGAGTTGTGTTGTAAGCCTTTCTACCATTTTGGGTTCAAAACATGCACGCTTATGTGCTCCTCACTTCTAAAAGAAGCTTCATTTCTTGACCTTTCAGCACTTGTTGGATCTTTGACAATTGGTACAACATTCCTACTTTCTCCCGTTGCCGGCTGCCTTACCGACAAGATTGGTCTGCGTCTAACAACCTTTGCCGGTGGCGTGCTCTCAGCCGGTGGACTTCTCCTGTCTTCTTTCTGCACCGAGAACATCAGCGCGCTGTACTTTACATATGGCATCATGTTTGGCTTTGGAGCAGCACTTGCCTATACGCCTACCTTGGCCATACTGGGCCACTACTTCAAGCGTTACCTTGGAAAGGTGAGCGGCTTCGTGACCGCCGGCTCCAGCGTCTTCACTGTCGTACTGCCTCCCTGTCTAGACAGTATGCTAAGGGTGTATGGCTTTGAAGCCGCACTGCAAGTGAGTTGTTGTCCAAATCGAAATACAATGTACGTCCATCGATTACTTTGATTATATTTGCAGATAATGAGCTTGATAGCGGCCTTTATTATCATTTGCTCATTTGTATACAAGCCGTTGCATCCACCTCCGATGCCACCAAAAAAGAAACCTGGTCGTTCGCGAGTGAACCTATTGCTTCGTTCTATTGTCAATGTGGAGATCTGGAAACGAAAGCGATACGTAATCTGGGCCTTTTGCGTACCTCTCGCACTTTTCGGTTACTTCGTCCCCTACGTCCATATGATGAAGTTTGTGGAAAAGGCATTTCCTGGGAAGGACGTTAATCTGCCCGTTATGTGCATCGGGATTACCTCTGGTGTTGGACGTCTGATCTTTGGCGTCATCGCTGATTTGCCGGGCATCAATCGCATGTACTTACAACAGCTTTCCCTGGTTTGCATCGGTTTAGTTACATTGCTGCTACCACTGACGAGCTCGTATGTGGTGCTGGTGTGCTTTGCACTTATTATGGGGCTTTTCGACGGATGCTTCATATCTTTACTCGGACCAATAGCGTACGAGATCTGTGGACCGTCAGGAGCAACGCAAGCCATTGGATTCTTGCTTGGCCTGAGCTCATTGCCCTTGACCATTGGGCCACCAATAGCAGGCAAAATATTTGATAGTACCGGTTCCTACACTGTGCCGTTTATCTTAGCCGGCCTGCCGCCTTTGGTGGGGTCCTCGCTGCTGTGTCTTATACGCTATGTCAAGGACGATGAAAATAAAGCTGTCGCGGGTCCAGTCGCTCATGTGCCTGTGGTTGCAAGCACAGATATAGAAAATATCGCACATACTCAAAACAGTGAGTATATGACTATATAGGAGATTACGATTTCTTACATTTTATTTTGCAGGTAAATCCGATTCTTTACTTAACGGACATGTGCGATTGGCCGATACAGGTATGGACTCATACACCGCATCCCATAGTCTGCTAAACAATGCTTCCGGCCAAAGCCCATCTAATTTCACTGCTCGCCTCTCTGCTTGCGCCCATCCTAGTAGATTGACAATGACTAATAACAGCTTAACCATTTGCTCCCACACTCCCTTGCTTCGTCATAATTCCAGAAACATATCTATCCCAGTTGCCGATAATAAGAATCTGGGTTGCAGCTTCTTAGGCGTTAACTTTAAAGACGAGTCAAAGAAACGCCGCTATACCTATTCATTATATTAACAAATTGTTCTATTCTTGTAATTTAATACAAGAACAACAATGACAATTTTAAAACGATTCCTGTATTATATTTGGTTATTCATATTATTATTGTAATATAATATGGCCTTTGCACATATAAATCCATCCTTTTAAACTAAATAACGTGTAGATGAATCCAAAATTCCAGCTTAAAACACGTTCTACACTTTAGACAACATTCTATACTATTAGCTCGGACCAAATACAAAGAGTCTTGCGCAACATATCCCTACAAGATTACAAATTTGTAGTTCTTGGATGATATTCCCTCAATCATTTAATTTCAACAAGTTCATATTATTGCTAACCCATGTACACGCAATCATCCTAGCACAAAGAAACTTACACAAGAGCTTCCAAAATAATACCAATAATCGGCAGAAACATTAAAAGGTCTTTCTATTTGTGCAGTAATAACGCTTTTTTAAATGTATAATTGCAATTAGGCAATGCATGTATTATATAGTATGTATATTATGTATTTTTAAAATTCTATGTATTATATTTAAACACATCAAAGCTGGTGGTATTCCGTTTCATTTTGAACTCTGAAAAACTCAATTTACGAATATATTTGTTACTCTTTACATCTTTCAGAATCGCTCACCGATGAGTTGCGGCCCTAAAGAACGTCGCTTTTATAACTTCAAGTCTAAATTCCGTACATATTCTGTTAATATTGGCAGTAAAAAGGAATATTGGTATTCCACCCAAACGCTTAAACTTGCCATAAATCTTAAACTTGCTTAAATCTGATCGTGCCATTCTAAATTCCAGAGGTTGTAGCTCTTGAGTTTTCTCAAGAGTAAGTTCGGAGTATGTAAGGAATCTAAATACGTGGCTATCTTGTTTTGCGGATGTACATCGTCCTTATTATTGTCTTTAAATACATTTGATGTTTTCTTTTAACGCATAGGCCTTAACAAGAATATTTTAATGTTTATACAGCTTAAGCGGTCCACACGTTTTGGGGAATACCAATATAGTGTTCAATTTATAATTCCTACATACATACATGTAAATATCAACGTAAGCGTATGAATAAATTCAGTGTATCAATAAGTTAACATTTAAAGAGGGCTCATAAGAAAAATTCGAATTTCTAATAAACCATTATTCATTTTGTTTATTTACCAAATCAATTTCTTTCAAAGTAAAACACATTCCTGAAATGAAGGGAGAGTGGGAGAGTGCGGATACGAAAAACATCTTTTGAATCCATACTTGATATACTAAGTATACTCAACATATCCGAAAATAAGCATATCTCTTATGAAAACAAGTGGAATAGCTTTAGTTGGATGCCCCAACTTTGAAATACTCTGTTCATACATATGTTTAAAATAATTATGGATAGATCAAAAACTAAGAAAATTAAAGGAAAATTCACGAAATTGTAATAATAAAAAAAAACCCATTTTTTTTTATCGATTATACGTTGTCCTTCAGGAAACTCACGTAAAGGGTGTATGACTGTCTATTTATATATATATATATTGTACAGAGTCGAACCAACTTTTTCACGTTCTGCAAACCTAATGTATTCCTGTACCTTTCAGGTACAGCGTATAAAAACGAGCGGGCGTTTAAAACATAAACTTTATTACTCTATTATGTACTTTTATATCAGAAAGCATTTGTACAATTTATAGTCTCCATGCGGGATTCACGTGATACGCGGTTTAGTTCCAATATGTTAAAAATAGCAAGAGAGAGCAAACCAAACACTTAAATACCCTCCTCTAGGAAATGTCCTGTAGCGAAGTGGAGTGAAATGGAGGAGTATGTTAGGTTTGTGCAAAGTACCTCGCATGTAACAGGAAACGGGGGCCGGAGATGCTTAAAATTTAAAATGTTCATTAAATAATGCAATTTAAAAAATAATTTATGCACATGATCAATGAAAAAACTTCAACAAATCGAATTCAGTTCCCTTTTAAGGCGAAATAGTGCGTCATAATAATGAACGTGTGGTCGACTTTATATGGCAAAAATTTGTGTGGGGGGGCAAAAAACATATCTAAATTTCTTTTCATTAAACGCACCGTTTGGGCTACCCCACATTGACTTTGTAGAGCGATTCATTCCGATTCGTGGAGATACGAGGGCGGTCCGATAAGTACTTGGCGGTATGTCACAAGCAAAGTTAATCGTGGCATACATCTTCAGACTTTTGGTTTAGTTTTGACCGCGTCTGTTACTCTTTTTCTCGATTTCGATCGAATCAACATAAAGTCACGTTTGAATGTAAATATGTGTGTGTTGTAAACATATAGTAGACAAACATACATACATATATATATATATATATATGTATATATGCCAAATGTTTGTACTTAATTGTATTGCTTGCGTGGTGTTAGGAGCTTTGGCTGACTAGAAAATATCAGTAATTGGTATGCACGTTCTATTGTGCCACATTAAAAGTATACGTGATTCGAAAGTTTCATTGATGCGTGAATCTCTATCTTCGTCACATTATTTATATTTTGTATACCCTTCACATTAGTGAATCATACAAGTATATAAAACATTGAAGGGTATATAAAGCTCCAAAGCAGCCGAAGATTTATAAAATTTATAATTGACTATGAGAGTGGGCCAACTAAAATATGGGCCCAATGTCCGGTAGGGCACATATAAGACCCAGTGTCGTCTATAAACAATTTTTAGTTTACGTCTTGTCGTCTTTTAGAACGGTACGTTATGCGATCGCACAACTGTCTGTAGTTGTTGAATTGGAAATTTGAAAATTGCATTATAGACGCCATGTTTTCGCTAAGCTTTTGGATTACTATACTATTGTGTTTGTGGATTTATTTATTGTGGACTCGGAGAAAGTTTTATCTACTGACTCTGAAGTTTCCAGGCCCATTCGGATATCCCATAATCGGCATGGCACATAAGTTGCTCCACAGAGAAGGTACATTAAAAACAGCTCTACTATCTAGATATACTTGTGAGATATTAGTATATCATCTTTATTTACTTGTACATTTTAATTTGCACTTAGATGTCCTGAGCGAGTTCGGGTATTATATAAAGCAGTATGGGCCGACACTTTTTTCTTGGCTAGGTCCGATTCCATTTTTGATTGTAAGCGATCCTCAGTTAACGCAGGACATACTTACCTCGCCGCATTGTGTTAACAAGGGTCTGATCTATAAGGCTGTGGACGATGGCGCAGGCAAAGGTCTTTTTAGCCAAAGTGGTACGACATTGAAATTTTAACTTGCTGGTCACATAGGATTGTTTTCAGCCCACTTTCTTTTATTGTAGATCCAACCTGGAGCATTCATCGGAAGTTGTTGAATCCCGCCTTTGGCCACAAGGTGCTGCTAAGCTTCCTCCCAGTTTTTAACAGTGAGACAGCAGCTCTGCTGAATGTGTTGAAAGGAATGGAAAATGAAGAAAAGGACTTTACACAAGTGTTACAAAGCTTTACATTGAGAATTGCGACACGTGAGTAAGTCATACTAAAATATTCAGTGATTCCATTATAATTCCTTAAGTGCAGAAACAACGATGGGCAGCGATGTGAAGGATGAAGAGTGTTTCAAGAACAATATACTACTCCAGCGCTATCAATGGTGAGTAACGATGAATGTATTCTGTTTGTCCGTGCATTTTCGCTATTCAATAACAGTGTGCAAGAAACTATGACAGATATGTGTTTCTCGCCGTGGCTCAACAACAGAATCTTGCGAATAATTTTTGGTAAGGAGGAGAGCTACTCTCGTGCCAAGTTAGAGATTCGCGCATTTATCAAAAAGGTGAATTACTAATTTCAGATTCATGTTAATTGTATGAACTAACAAATTTACCTTACGCAGCTAATTGTACGAAAATTGAATGAGGACTCTGCAAATACTGCTCTCCCAAAGGATAAGAACATATTTCTAAATCTGGCCACTGACCTTCTGAAGCGAGGAATTTTTAGCTGGAAGAATGTTGAGGACGAATCGAATGTTATAGTGTTTGGTGCCTTTGAGACAACAGCTAATACTTTGTACTATTCCTTAATGCTACTCGCCATGTTTCCCGATTACCAGGAGAAGGCATTTGAGGAAATCAAAACGATCTTTCCCAATCCAGGCGATTTTGAAGTTAGTTACGCAGACACAAAGCAAATGATATACATGGATATGATTCTGAACGAGTCGATGCGAGTGATGTCACCCGTACCGCTCGTTTCAAGACAAACGTCACAAGATCTGAAATTGTCAAACGGGGTAACAATACCCAAGGGAATACAGATAGCACTTGATATTTTTCATATGCACAGAAGTAAAAGTATTTGGGGCCCAGAAGCGGAAACCTTCAATCCGGACAACTTTTTACCCACTAATTTGGAAGATAAGCACCCATACGCCTATATACCTTTTACAAAAGGCATCAGAAACTGTATAGGTTCGAGCAACATATATTAGAACACTTTTACATTATAATATATAATAATATATTTACGTTGCAGGTTGGAGATATGCTCTAATATCGGCCAAAGTAACACTGGCGAAACTGCTGAGAAATTTTAAGTTTACCACCTCTTTTCCATTTGAGGATCTTGTTTTTGTTGAAGATATAACAATTAAATTAGAAAAAGCGCCGCTTTTAAAATTGCAACGACGAAATTAATATATCAAAAATATATTCTGAAATAATATAATGGAAATTCAGACAATGTTAATAAATAACTTGGATAGTTTCATTATTATTCTACTTACAATTACAAATTTCAAATACATACTTTGAGGTATGTAGTATGTGAATATGTGCATATCTCTGTATGTATGCATGTAGCAACATTTAATCATTTCATACAGGCGCCATCAATTTAAATTTGTAATTCGATTTTTTGGATCTTTCAATTCAAAGTATAAATTATGCTAAAGGATTAAACAGGCTCCTGTGAATCACAGAATAGCGTTGTCAGCCGACTGTAAATCAGTAGTTCGTTAGGCAAAAATTTAGCATAAATATAATGTATTGTTTAGTTTTCGATATTTTTACTGACTGGTAATAGTGTTAAATACCTTCAAAAATAATCACCATCTGCTTATGTTAAATACTAACATGTTAAATTTAACTTGGCGCCTAATTATATGTGGGAGCTCTAATAGGCACAATGCCTTATGTGACGTCACACCGAATAAATGTATGAAATATTTAAATAATAAGGGTTAATAAATGAAATATGTACATATATGTATGTTAGGGAAAGGTTCCTATAAAAGTTATTCAAGAAAATTGAGAATTAAAAATACTAGAAAGAACCGAACAGAGACGGTATATATGCATATGCTCTCAACATATAATTTCATCGATAAATTTGATTATAAATCTAAATTCTGATATCATTTTGTCGTGACTATGTCGAGTTGTCCTAGTGGCGCCAAAATCATCTTGAAACGCGAATTTTAAAAAATCCTAAATTTTGATTTCAATTTAAAATATTTTACGTATCTTTTTCTTATATAAAAAATTACACAAATAACAATTGATTGTATTATATTTTCTACTCTAGTGAACCAAACAAGAAATCTTCATATACCAGAAGTCCCATCGCTAGTACAGGAATTGGTGGGCAACACTGCGTTCAATTTCGAATGGATGGCAACAAACTCATGTTGCCAGACGTTGATGCAATTTACACATTACATTTGCGCTATGTCTTCTACAGATTGCTTTGATTTAAATAAAACCGAGTTGTTTGCTAAAATACGTAATGGCTTGGCAATCGCTTCGCATACACAAAATTTGTTGGTGTGCAAAGATGATTTACTGTTTGCATGGGACAGCCACGATTGCTGTCTGCTTGTGATGAATTGGCGTACTCCGGCTTTGTTGGATAAAAGTTGTTGTGCCAAAACTGCTTACCAAACGTTGATACCTTCCACGACAATCTGTTTTGAGGTGGATCGCTTGGAAGCGTCCAATGAGGGCTCTCAAATTGCAATTAGCGGCAGACGCGGCGTGGTAATCTTGGAGCTGCCGCGCCGATGGGGACCAGATGGCAATTTTATGGACGGGAAATCAAAAATAACGTGCCGCTCATATAACCTGGATACGCAGCTGTTTACAAATAACTCAAATCTGGAAGTGCGCCAACTTCGGTGGCATCCCGAGTCAGCCACCGACTCGCATTTACTTATTTTGCTTACCAACAACACCATTCGGGTGTACAATCACGCCAAACTACGTCATGTTTGGCAGGTTGGACCCACTATTGGAAAAACCAGTGGTAATACTTCAATATCGGATTTTGGCGAAACAGCGGTGGACTTCGATATAGCGCCAGCAATTAAAAATCGTGGCGCCGAGGAATTAGTTGGTAATGAGACGATAATTGGGAAAAGTGCCACGCGTAGTCAAATGAAATCAATGCCGCTTAATAAAAGCACACAGAATACAAAGCACGACAAGATAGAATGGCCCATCGTCATACTACGTGAAAATGGGAATATATATATTCTACTTGCTGGAATTAATTCGGATGTACCCAGATTGCAAGGCCCCATTACAATTTCTCCACAAACCAACGATAATTATGGGTTGGAATCATGTTCCATTCTGGTTATAGCGTCACTGCCACCAACTGTAGTCATTGCTGAGTCCAATGGCAAGCTGCACCATGCACTCCTTCTCGAGGCAGAGACTAAAGAGCATTCTTTTAATGAAGTGGATGAGCTAATACCGGTGGAGGCATCTGAATGGACAATAAATGTGATGGAGACCGTTGAGCTGGAGCTGGGCCTACCTAAAGAATCTTCACAAAATTATAGTTGCTCTATGCATTTAAGACGGGATCTTATCAACGAAATGCGCTACTTTATTTATCATGACGCCGGAATGCATGTCGTCACCGTGAACTTCATTGCTGAGCTGGAGCGTTTTGTGGATAGCGAGATCGAGAACGACGTTTTCACTCTGTCTACGCCATCCCGGGCGGAATACATACTCTGCACAAAGCTCGATGCCATGGATCGTAATGTTGTGCTTGGCATAGCACTGCTTCAGATGCCCTCTGGCGTGGTGGTGCTACTTGGCAGTGGACAGGTTGTTAGTCTAAAGTTGGTGATTGATATCAAGTTACTTGTCACGGCCAATCAGCTGTCAAATAAAGCGGTGGGCAACACTCCTATGGTGGATGAAAACAGTGCTGGGCCATCATTCATGGAATCAATAAATGCGATTTTAGAGCGAAGCGTGAATCAGCCCATTCTGTCGACGGATAAACAGGTTTCGCTATCGCCACACGATCGCTACGAATTGTTAAACCAAGCAATTGAAGTCCTGCGTTCTCAATATCTTAAACGGCACGAAATGGTTCGTATTGCGTTCGCCAAGCGCATAAATCGCATACGTCTACAAAAGGAGCAGCAACTTCATGAGATTCAGAATTTGGAGCGCGAACGTGAAGTGATTAGTGAGCGCGCCCACAAGTTAGCTGAACGCTTTGAGGAGATCACTGATAATCAGGATATATTGGGGCGCAAGTGTCATCTGCTTGTACAGAAGGCCAATGCTGCGCTACCAAATAATGTCGTAGCCGAGCGTGAGTTTGCTCAGGATATAGCAACCATAAATAAAGCAACCAAAAGCATGGCTGCCGCTCTGGAAGCAGCCAAAAAAAATATGAACAAACAGCGATATCTTATTTCGAAAAACCAAAATGAGTCAAAGGCAAATGTATACGAACTGCCGGAAAAACAGCACCACACCATTACGGAGATCCTTACCCAACTGACCAGTGAGATTGACCGCCAAATCCACGATGTTAAGCGCATAAAAAAAATTGTAGGCATTTGAACAGAGTTTACCTAACAATGTATTTTTTCTTTATAATTTTTCTCTGTTTTTGCAACTGATATAGCTGTAAATACTTAGCATTAAACTTAAAAATGTATCCAAAAAGCAATTTTAATTGGCGTAATAAACGTTTCCTGATGATTGTCTACCTCTATGGGTTTTACAAACTTTAATTGTTAATATTTCAGGTTATCTCTCGCTTTTAGCATAACTTGTTATACCCTGTACCCAAAAAATTATGGGGTATATCAGTTTAGTGCGAATCCGTACAAAAGCTACAAAACCCACATTTGTTATTCAGCTTCCCCTAAGACCTCTTAAAGCGGCATATCGGTTAAGACGATTTAATTCGGATGAGCACTTAGTTTAAAATAAATTGCTTTCAACGACTGTCAACTGTTCATGTACTGGAAAGTATATCAGATAATAGAGCCTAATTTTCAATTCATACTCTCGTAAGCTGTTTTTATGATTCGCCTATTTCTTCGAACTGTTTGCCAAAATTTGACAAGTGGTTAGGTGGTTAGAGTGTATTTAAGAGTTGGATCCAATTTTGCACACCTTTAATGTTTATATCGATATGAAAATATATATATTTGGACATTATGTAAATAACATAATATACACAAAAAAAAAATCAAAAGCTTGAAAATCGATTAGAATGTTTTAAAGTCATATAATTTGAATACAATTATTTTTCAGCTTTTCGGTGCCAACTTAATGACATTTTTGGAAGAATAACATGTGTATATACATTACATATGTATATAAGTATATAAATGAAATACAGAAGTGTAGTTGGCGAAAATTTTGAATTATCACAGAGGGGTCAAAGCCAAGATGCTAGTAAACAAAAGCGAAAGCCTGCAGTTGGCGACGACCTTCTTGCGTCAGAGAAGCTGATAAGCAGCTTTTGGAGGCGCTTAGTTAGCAAGCCATCTGCTAGCTATTAGCTATTAATTTAAAAATTCATACTCATCCCCCGGAGATAACGTGGAAAGTACGGCGGTCCGGAAAAATCAGTTCACAAAGATCTGCTGCGAAGTGCTGACTAATACTCTGACTCTTAAAATGACCGCCACCGCAGATAGTGTTTTCCTTGCCCGTTCGGAGGGTATTTCAGCTGAAGGAGTACGCGACCAGTACGCCGATGGAAAGGCGGCCAAGGTTTGGGAGATTTTCATCGGTGACAAGAACTCGCGTACTGACAACTACAAGAATTTTTTGGTTGACCTCCTCCGCCAGAAAGGCTGCAAGCGTCTGTTGGATGTGGCTTGTGGTACAGGGTAAGTAGAATGTACATACTTTCCAGATGGTTGGTGTCACCAATCTATACCTTTCAGCGTCGATTCAATCATGCTTCTGGAAGAAGGGTTCGAGTTGGTGTCCGTCGATGCTTCCGACAAAATGCTGAAGTACGCTCTTAAGGAGCGTTGGAACCGCCGTAAAGAGCCTGCCTTTGATAACTGGAGTGAGTAAATAATTAGATTAAAGATTAATTAATTAATATTTTGCTGCATTTGAACGCATTGCAGTTATCGAAGAGGCCAACTGGTTGACTCTTTATGATGACATACAAGATCATATTAAGGACGGCTTTGATGCGGTTATTTGCCTTGGAAACTCCTTTGCACATCTGATGGACAGTTTTGGCGACCAGCGCGGACATAAGCAGGCCATCACCAACTTCCAGAAGTGCCTAAAGCCGGGTGGTGTTCTTTTGATAGACCATCGCAACTACGATAACATCCTGGAGACAGGTTCCACTCCAGCAAAGAGTCTTTACTACAACGTAAGTTGAATGTTCTTTCTATAATATCTTCACTATTTCTAAGTCATCGTCAGACATACTATGAATAGTATATACTTGTAGTTTATGTGAAGCAGCATTGGCTGGGCAGGCACTTAAAAATAATTTAATATTTTTCATTCAAGCGTTGCTCTTAAAATGCTTTGTCATTTCTATTATCTGATTATTTTGTATTGAATAGTAAGATTCAGCTCGTGTCATGAAATTCCAACTAATCGCATGACTTGAAACTTTTTACAGACAAGCCATACCGCCGACATCAAAACATCCGTTTTGTTTTACTGCGGAAAACCTACCCTGGTATCGATGGACTACCTCATTGAAGGCAACAAACTGTCCAGCGAGTTCCGCCTCTCCTATTATCCGCACGAGCTGAAGAGGTTCACTGAAATGCTTTTGGAGATATTTGGCGCCCAAGCGAAGCATAAATTGTATGGTGATTTCAAGGACATGAGCCTTGTACAGAACCCTGCTTTTTATATCCACCTGGTGGAAAGGATTAGGTCTTAAGTAACCATTTCGTTTTGAAATATATATATATACATACACACACACAAAATACAAAAGTTAGAGTTTTTTATTTAAATATACACATTTTAGCGCGATCCGATTCTCTATGCCAGTATTAGATATCGACTCAAAATGGCACTAAAACAAAGCGTGACCATGGAAGCCTCAATCAAAAATGGGGAATTTGCCTTGATGTAGTTGGACATCTGCTTAAAAATGCTCGAGAGTCGACTCAGGAGTGTCGATGACATGTCGCTGGGATGGGATATCCCCACCGACATCGACTTAAAAACGTTCGATGACAACTAAAGACAGCCATCGCAGCCGAACTCGAAATGTGGAATACGCGACAAACTACATAAATAAATCTGATTAGGCATACAAATACATATTTCATTTGTATTAAATTTCCGTGGCTGCTACAAAGCGCAAATGTCAATGCTTAAATACAAATACTTGGACATATGCAAATTTTGTTTGTGCGCTTTTTACATATAGTAGGAAGTCTACAACATTCCATTTCAATGGTTCAAAGCCGCCATACCCTGGTTTCTCGGGTATTTTGTGTTGGGTCTAATATTTGTAAGGCCCAAAATATTTCATCCAAAGCTGTGGGTGTGTGAAAAAGAATGACAGCACGATCCGATATAGCCATGTGCGTCTATCTGAGCAAGATTTCGACACGATTTATATTTAATTTATTAAATTAATCAAATTTTAAAAAACATAATTTTTTAACTATTTTTTAATTTTTCTTTATACCCGACTTCAAACATTAGCAATTCGTCTGTGTTTGTAAATCCTGTGGCATCAGTGTAATGCTTCAAATCAGAGCCACGAAGGAGGGCTGCTATTAATTTAATCATATCAATTAATAAACCTAAATTAATTAATACGACATTATCGGCTATTAATAGTTAAATAGATGGAAAAGGTAAAAAAAAAAGAAAATAAATCAATGAATAAATGTTTTCTGGAGATAAGAAGAATCTCATACCAGATTTGGGCAATGTGGGTCAGTCGTTTCCGAAATTCAGGCATTCATCCAGACAGGCGGACGGAGGGCATGGCTATATATTAATTTTATTCGTCAAGCTTATTAAGAATATACTTGTATACACTTTATTGGGTCGAATATGCCTCCCCACGCAAAGAGAAGTGCAATTTGTGCTTGAGAGCTTCCTGGGTAGTATGTACAAAGCTAAATGGAGCGGGGTCTAGTGTCAGGAATTATTAGAGCTGGAGTTCCATATGTTTCTTGGGGCCTACTTTAAATGTTCAATGGGATCGTCGTTGTTTGATGATAAGGAGGATCTGATCATCACCCTCCTGGCCAGAAACAAAAGCTTATCAGACGCACAGGTATCTTGCAGCATTACCTACACGGCGCCGGAATGTGGGCAAAGCTCCGGAAGATTGGGATCAACGCAAACAAGCGCTCTTGGTATCCTGGAATCTTTTTGCTGGACCCCATGTTGGAGTAAGTCAACAGGTACAAGTATTTGGGCGTCCACTTGCCACATATCCAACGGCGCCGACACCCTTAGTATGAGAACCGCAAAACAGTTCCGGGCAGTACCCAAATTTAGTGACGTACCGGAAAGGAAAGTACTGATTCAACCCAATGACCACGTCCACTCTGGATGAATGATCATCATATCTCCGACTTACTTTTGAACTATGACACCATTCAAGACCTGTGTGAACTGGTTGTGAATTATAGTGCCAAAGTTGTGAAATTTTTTTATTTTATTTTTAATGAATTTCGTTTATTTTGATTTAATTTAATTTATCTTCATTTAATTGTTTTTTTTTAAATTATTTTATTTAAATTTATATATTTAAAATGTATGTTTTTAAGGGCATGGGTACACTAGTTTTGTGCGAACACAGAACGAGGCGTGGCAGCCCCACAAAGTATACATATATATTCTTGATCAGGATGACAAGACGACTCGATATAGCCATGTCCGCCTGTCCGTCCGTCTGTATGAATGCAAGGATTTTGAATTTTTTTCTCTTTTGTGGAGTGAGTACAGAGTATTTAAGAGTGGAGCTCCTCGACTCTAGCATTTATTTCTGTTTTTTTTGTATGTTTGTTACCTCAGCACATTCGACTGGGTGAACCGATTTTTCCATTTAAAAGCTGGTGCTTCCCGAATGGTCCCATTTCCATTTGGACCACTTAAACGCCTCCTCCTTTAAGGAGTCTGGAGAGCACTATTTGGCACAGAAGAAAACAGACCTTGTAGGTATATGAGAATATATTTGTATGTATTTCGTTTAATGTCTGAATATTGCACAGTAAAATATGAAATGGTATTATGTATTGCACCTCGATATACTGCGAGCAGTGAAAAACCTAGATTCTTAAAGAAATGTACAATTCTTATATAACTAAAGACTTACATAGCGGGCTTACATAAGCTACCTACAACTAGGATGTAATTTCTTAACCGTAAATGGAGATTACGTTTCGCAAGATAATTAATCAAATTTGACCGTGAAATTGTAACATAATTTTCTTGGGAAACATAAGCTGCTAGGGGTAGTATGGTTTGCCAATTAAAAATGAAAAAAACGCCTCAAGCTGTAATTAATTTAACTATTATTTTAAATGTTTATGGTAAATATCCCAGCGAGTCCTCAAGGGAGTGGCCCACCACTCGCATGGATTGATAGCTACCCATGCGGCTTCGGCTGGCAGAGCTGGAAAAAGACAGGGCTGGTCCACTGGCCGATTTTTCCATCGCATTTAGCTTGTTAAGCAGATCATCGGCGCTGCACAACTTTTCGGAAGGAGAGCTATTTGTGCGAGCAGGCTCCGGTTTCGATTTGCTGCTACCAGCATCACTCCCGGCCGGAGGGCAGAGGCTCTTAATGTCTGTTGTCTGGCTCAACTTCATGTCGGCAAAGACCGCAGCTGCCTCCACGCTCTTCTTCACACTGAGTGCTTCATGCGGCTGCACGGGCTTGCTGTTGCCACCGATCGTAAATAATTCATAGTCCACACCGAGCTTTTCTGTTGTTCTCCGCGAAGTCGCATGCAAATTGCGTTGCTCAGAGTCCTTTAACAATTCTGCTCTCTGGCGGGCCTGAGTACGTTTGCAGTAACACTTGCTGGCACTAACGCAGCTATCGCTGTCACACGATGTGGTAGTGTCTCCGCGTGAATTAACCGAATCGTGCTCCAGTGTGCTGTTTGGCTCTTCCTCGACCATCGAGCAGTAGCATTTATCTTCCGACTTGCAGGAAATCAGGGAGTGACGATTGGGGGGAATACCTTGGGGCTTGCCAATGAGTTTGTGCGAGCTGCAGATATCCCGCTCGTTCTTATTCCGTAGTTTGTGGTTGGTATGAGTGGTCCTCAGACTGCAGTAGCAGCGGTCGGCTGAGACGCAGGTGCAGGTCTCGGAATCGTAGCTACACTCGGAGCACGAGACGTACCTGCGTTTGGGGATTTGTGCATAAAAACATGGCATCAACATGGAGAAATCAAACAACTCTCACCCGCTACTGCTGTTTCGGTTCAGGCCTTGAAGTGCATGTTCGTTGCGTACAACAGATACGTCGGAGCCGCTGGTCGCTGCGCGATTTCGTTGGTGCTGATGATGATGCTGTTGCTGCTGGTCAGGGCTTTGGCACGTCGTGGGTGGCCCAATTATGGGTTTGTCCTTGCGGCGGTTTGATTGCTCCTTGGATCGGGTGGACTTGGAGACTTTCCCACGACAAGAGCGAAACTGGCCCAGCTGAAAAACTTTCATAATGCTTTTCGTGCCGAAAAAGATGCTCCTCGATTTCTTCTGCAGAAGAGAGAGAGAGAGAACATTAGCACGGGTTTATATTATTATTAAAATTATTATTAGGATCATTATGACAAACTACTTCAGAAAAGCTTATTTCTTCTCATTTTCCCGTAACTTTGGTAAGTCTTGACAAATCCTGTTAGTGCTTTTGTGGTTCTATGACAAAGCAAGAATTTGATTCGCCTATCTACAATTCTGAGCTGCAAACCCGATGCAGATGAAGCGGCTATATATTAATTATTAATAATCTTAACTTATAATTAGAAAATTAAAAACGCTTATTCCATTCTTGTTGTTGGATCATTTTGTGACCTTGACCTACCTTAGGGCCATTTAAACTGGACTTGCGTTTCTGCTGTTTCTTCTTCTGCCGCCGCATAATGTTCTTGGAGCGTTGGAATAGCTCGTCTTGTGTTAGTGTAACCGCAAGCTTCAGCAAGAACTCCTTGTATATGGGTTTAAGGTCATTAAATGACATGCCATCCGCGTCGATAATTGCGTAGAGGATATCGTCTAAGGAATGCAGGTTCTCGTGCAGACGAAATTCATTAAACAGTTCGCTGAAACCAAGTGGGGAACTAGAAGTACAATTCAAACAACGATGCAAATCAACCCCAAACCTTCTAACCAAAAATGCAAACAGTGTGCTACAGCCGTACAGGCCAGGTCGGCATTGATCCTGGCCTGCACGATCTATGAGCAGTACTCACCCTCCACCACCGCCACCGCCTAACTTGCCCGAGTTGCGGCGGGCCGCTCGAGACTTGTACCGGGTCAGCCCGCCTGTGTTTAGGAAGCTTCCGGACCTAGGTATCGCCACACGTGTCAAAATGTCGCCATTGGATTCGTTGCGTAGGACGCCGTTTGCATCTCCATTCAGAGAATTGACCAGGCCATGCGACATGTATGCGCTGCCCGCTGGCTTCTTCGGGTGCTGATGGGCAGACTTTGCATGAGAATTGTAGCACATGCTCACGTGTCCATTGCTGCAGACGATGTTGTTCGACCGATTCGCATGAGTGCTGGCCTTGTAGCCCAATGGCAGTCCCAAAGCAGACATGGAGCCCGGCTTTGTGGTTGGAACTGGAGGAGCACGCCTCGATTTGTGAGATTTGCGTCGGCGCTCCTCTGTAGATGTCTCGGCAGCCTCGTTAATCACGTTGCTGTTACAGCTCAGGGAGCTGTTCGAAATCCGTTTCCTACGTGCGGAACGCGGTGCGGGTGCTGCTCCTATGATGCTGCCGCTGCTGCTCCGAAAGGAGCTATGTTGACCGCCCACGCTGGGTGCTATCTGAGATCGTGACAAATAGTTGGAACTAGTCATGGCAGAGCTGCTAGCAATGCTGATGCAACTGACGCCGTTTTGCTGACGTGGGGTTCGGCGTTTGGTGCTCCGGTGCGAACTTATGCTGACGTGAGCCATTAGGCTCTGATAAAGCGTTGCGGCGATTACGATGGCATCCTCGGTATTTTTGCAAATGAAGCCATGGCACTCTAATATCTTTGGCGTGCCAGTAGCTCTCATGACTACCGCAAAGATGGGTGCGTGCACGCTGAATTCTACGATCAACTGCTCTGCGGCACTGTAGTCAGATTAAAACATTGTTGTTAGCGATGGCCTTTAAAGTGATGAGCTGGTTTTACCTGAGCGGCTTGAAAAGTGCGGTCTTGTCTATATTATCTGGATCAGTGATGAGTGGAAGGAAGGCCGCTCCTCCATCTTCCTCGGAAATAACAAACTTTACTGCCGACCAAACGGCAATGTTGTGAAATGGAGTAATATGTGCCTCGTTGTCATCGTTTCCTGGCACACTGGTTAGCTTCACACGCAGCCCCGTGGTACAGATGTCCAAAAACCCAGAGCTTAGCTTCTAAGAAGGCATATATAAATAAGGATATATATATATATATAAGGATATTATTACACCCTGTACATTAAATGTATGTTTGCGGGAGGTAAAAAATTTAACAGGCAGAAGTAGACGTTGCAGACCTCAGAAAGCTCTGAGAGTCTCTGAGATCTTGCCGTTCATACGAACAGACGGACAGTCGGACAGATGGAAAGACAGCGCTTGATCGCGGCTCGCCTTGTCATGATGATCAAGCATATATGCCACTTCTTCTTCTTTTGCCTTTACATTTTTCACTTCCCGCAAACCTAATATACGTTAATTACATGTTAATTAATTATATGTTAATTACAAAATATTGGTGTCTAGTATTAAGCTTTTTCTATGTAGATTATGATGAGATAAATAAATTGTACACTTGACCATTTACCTTTTTCGTAATGTCATTTAAGTATAACTGCCTAAGGGGCTCTTGCAAACCCTGCAAACTGGTCACTTTGTCCTTCAAGGGGAGCGATCCAAGGCACGTAACCTCAAAGCTGCTGGTGGCGTCCTTAGCAACATCGGTAAAGAGCTGCTCTATTTGTGCTTGTACACTGTTAGTGATACGCTGCACATCCTTCTTCGCTGCTTCCGCCAACACTTTTGCCGACTCGTTTGACTCCTGCAGGAAACTGCTTAAGGAACAGTTTTTGTCTTCCGCAGTACTGGCAAGCTCACTCCGTCCGTACATGATGATGGAACGTGTACGGTGGGACCCGCGGGGATCATCAAGTCGATTGCTGCGCATTGATCTGATCGAAACAATATATATAGAACATTTTCATATAATTGTATGTAGCACAATCCTTATATCGACAAACTCAACTATTAACTAGACTGCAATCTTAATCTGAGCTTATTGTCTTTCACAACAAAAGTTCTTTCAGATGAAAGGTTTTCCTCATACTTATAGATACATGCTACGGGTATGTGTTAGCCTAAGCATCTGCCTACATCTATTTACTTTATCCTCTAAGTTTCTTGTTAAAAGTTTAACAATTGGCTTAAAAGGCCCAATTCACAATTTTCGAAATGATATTGTGAGAATAGTTTTATCTTTCATTGAAAGGGAATAATTTACAAAAGATATGCAAACAAGTTATAGATGTGTCTAAATTAAGTATTTAAAGAAAGAACATTTCTGTGCATTTTCTGTGCTTTTTTGTTTTGTTAGTTAGTTGCGAAAATATTGTTGTTATCATTGCGTTTTCCATCCCAATATAGTAATTAGTCGTCTACTGTTTTATGAATGCACAAACAGTCTCAATTTTTATCGTAGTACCCAAATTTCATACCATGATTTCATTTAAAATTCCAATATATGCGGATTGATGTAAAGTTCACTTTATCGGAACCAAAATCCCAAATCCATGAAAGACATCCCAAAAACATCACCAGCTCAATTGCTTCTATTTTTATTCTCCTTTTCAATTATTCTTTAATTTGCTTCTGCATATATGAACTAGCTTTTTGCAACTTACTTCTAACAACAATCAAAAAGCATATTTAAATAGCCGTTTCTAAGAACTTATGAAGTGGTCTAGAAGTTATTTTAACTTTAGAAATCTATGGACTTTTGGCTATTTTAGAATTGGAAATCCTTTTGTAGAGATGTTCTTCTAAGCGCGCCTGCTCACTAAAAAGAACCGGCAGTGGCCAGCTGTAGGCGAATGCAGCTTAGACTCTTCGGACGTTCCCAATTCAAGATATTTTCTGTACCGCTACATGACACAAATTTGAAAATGTTTCATTTGGAAGAACGCTGGCGCTGGAGCTGGTGTGGATATATTTTGAATGTGAATGAAGTGAAGTGGAGGGGTTTTCTTTTTTTTAATCAATTTGTTTACTCTCTGAATGTGTGTCAGATGTATTGATGAAACTTAATGAATAGAGGAGAAGCGCGCGGCCGGTATTTTGATGTTTATCTCTATTGTCTCTTTGGCTGTGCGCTTTGAATTTCAACGCCAGCACACATGTAGATACAGGTTTTTATTTATGAACTAACTGTATTTCCATTGCGTATGCAAATTGAAAACGGTACAATGATGCGGGGCCAATACCAAAGTTTTTTTTTACAGCTGTAGGTCCAGCGACAGCGGTGTAAATGATGATCAACCGGTCGGCAATTAAGTAAGAAGTCTTCATCTCATTTGAATCTCATGCAAATGAAGCTATGAGAACGAAAGTGTTTTTCATTTCTGTTAATTGGAAACATTTTCGAAAGCTGCACAACCAAAACTTTTACAAACCATGTTCGAGAACAAACGACGTTCCCAATGTTTGCAAAATATGCTGATGAGTCTTTAAAGCCTTAACAATTGGTGGAAAATCTAATTTATTTTTAACGACAATGAAATGTGCCATACTATAAGTATAATACTTTAAGACTATATAGCGCAGAAACAGATATGGCTATATCGATTAATCTCATCATATACATATGTATGTATGATTTTTTTTTTGAATCTGTGTAGTATAACAAATGGAGCCACTTCTGCGCATACCAATTAATTATTAATTACCAAACTAATTATACAAATTATTATATAAAAATCTGGATGGACCCTAAGAAAGTATATATTTTTTATAAATATATTTAAGTGGTTTTTCAATGTTTAATGCTGGATTTTTGATTTCTCCGTTGGCCAGAGAGAATTTATTTCTAGTCACTAATTTGCATTTTTTAAATTTTAACTTTACATATTTTTAATTCCCTCTAGAAGGAATGTAACCCCCACTTTACTTGACTAACGATTTTTATGAAAAAGACTTGTGATCAGTGAAAATAATATTGTAAATATATGATATCACATCTGATTGTTAGTCATTTTAATCGAAAGCAGCCTTAATTCTTGAGACACAAAATTGATATACATATGAAATTTCTTTTTTGTAGAGTGGTCTATCTTTTGGCTTAAATTGATATTGGGTTAATTGGAAGTTCGCCACTATGTTGAAAGTTATTTTAAAAATCATATTGTCACACAATTAAAAAAACACTTAATTTTGTATCGATAGTACTCACCTGGAATCGTCAAACATCAGATCGATTTTGAGCTTATAGATTGAATTGCGACTTACACTCGAATTTATTTCGAGCTGATCGCCGTCCATGAGTCGAAAGCCTGACGAATTGCTGCTAACCGGCTTGCGCGGACGCAGGGAATTCATTTTTGGAACTGCCACAACCGATTGAGAATCCACCTTACTGGTGACCATCGTCTCGTCGATGCGAGTCTTTAGCATTCACAATACGGTGCTGTTATTTGCTTTCCTCGTTCGCTGGTTTGTTTGTTTGTTTGATTCTTTGTTTTTGTAATATGTTTGCAGTACGTTTATGTGTCTGCTCAGTTATTGGCGAGTGTCTGTGTTCAATTTGTGTGCAATTAGCAGTAAATGTTAATCAATATTGCATACTGCACGTTAATTATTAACATGTTTGAGAAATATTTCATTTCGATTCACTAAAAAAAGCACATCTCCATTTGCATTTGCATTTGCTTTATTTTAACACCTAACTTTTACATTCGAGTATGGCAGCATTACGAGTAGAGTAGAGGTGTGGGTGACTCCGAGTGGTGGTTGCATGACGTGTTGGCTATTCGCGCTACCTCATTAATTCGCTACAAGCAAAACCGAAAACAAAAGGAAACAACCAGATTAAAATCAGTTAACTTATAGTGTTTAGCGGGTTTCTCAAGGAAAATTCGTGGCGCGTTTAATCTGAAGCCGTTTGCAAAATTTAATATCGTATATAGCACTTTTTTATATACATACTATACATACATATGTATGCATTTATTTTGGTGAAAAAATATATACATACATAACTATTGACTATTGGCTAAAACGCACAAAACATAGGCATGCAGTCACACATAAATAGTTGCAGTTAAATGTACATATGTAGTATATATATATATATAAGTATGTACATAGTCGAATGTACATACAAATATGCAGCATAGGTAGACGCATAGAGAGCAACGGTGCGCGAGCGCGTTAATTTGTAGCTGTGACGCGGCTGCATCCATTAGATACTTTCACTATAGAGATATTGCCGCAATTAGCAAATGCTGTTTGCCAACAAAATGAATACCAACTCAAAAACACCAACAAATGGAGCCGATTGTTTCTTATGCCAGCAGCTTGAAAGAGCATTGGCATTGGCGTTGCCCGCAAGCGTAGCGCCTGCGAGTGGTTGATTTGATTGCACTTTGAGCTTCAAATTCACAAAACTCTATGTTGCACTATTGTACATACATATGTATGTACATATGTATATACTTGTAGTATGTATTTCATAATTCGAAACTACTCGTCTGCTTACATCAACAAATTGCTCTGTTGTGCTCTGTATCGATTGCCGCTGCTGCGATGTGCCAGCCGTGAACGCGTACAATGAAATGTCGATGCCGATGCGCATCAAAATAAAACGGCGCTGAAGTTCAAACTCTGCTTCGGAGAGCAGCCGACCAGAGCGAAAGAGAGACCAAAACGCATAAGAAGCTCAACAGGCCGATTAGAAATGAGCGTGTGGCGGAGACCACCCGAAGAAATGACCAACGGGGCAGCGAGCGCAGTCTGTTGCCTAAATAGGTGAATGTGAATGAATAACTCGCCAGTTGTTAGACAGGCTTGCCATTTGCTATGCCGTGTTGCTTCTTCTCTTATGTATCTGCCCGTGTCTGCATCATCTCTGGCGTAAGTAAGCAGCAGCAGATAATGGGCAAGTGTACACCTATCATCTGGAATGGACGCCTCAACTCACACAAGCAACACTAACAACAGCACCTCCATTGAGCGGCTGTTGTGGCTCTGGCTTATGCGAACTAACGAGATCGCTTGCTTTTCAACACCAACAATAATCACTTACCCAATGCCCAACGATGGTGGCTGCTGCTATTATCAGTCAATGTGGGTTTTGTCCGTTTAGCCAGCTCCACTAACCGCCAACATTGAGCATTTGCATACGCATGTGTGAATGATCGAATATTTTGCGCAATGGTTTTGTGCAATGTCCGAAATGTTGCTTCTGACGCGCACCTTCACCATGTCAATCGCAGTAATACATATACATACTATCTACCAAAAACCTTAAAAGTAGCATAAAATAAATTTGTACATGTTTCAAAACATAATTTCCACTTATTCTCTTGCTTTACAGTTGCATGAGAATGTTGTTATACAGGTCTTATCTAAGTAGATCGTATACTAAATTCAAATAAAGATGCTGTTCAACATGCTTCTTCGCAGATAAGAATTGACATGTTTTCTGAACTTAAGAACGATTTATTTAAGTATACAACTCTGCCTTGCAGTGCACCAAAAATCAATAAAGGTGACATATTGAAAATCATTTTAGAATTCATTACGAATGTTAAAATGTTCACATATAGGGTGTCTACTACGACGTTTATAGTTGCACTAATTTAGCACAAGCTTTCATCGCTTTTCTGTTGATTCATAAGATAATTTTTAAAAAGTGACAATTCATTGAAACTAGGTTAAATCGAAAAAAGAGTATTGTATAGCCGCATCTTATGATTTTGTTTGCAACAGCGTCAAGGTTTGATATTTTAAGTTTTGTTTTTAAAAAACTTTAAAATATAATCTAACATTTGATGCAATTGGATAAAAAATGGGAGAAAAAAATAAAAATAAATGTGTGAAGTGCTTCAGAATATTATCTATTGTTTATGTCTTATCTTGTGTGAATATTTGATATTTGGAGTATAGTAGGTGGGCAGCAAATTATTCGCATCCAATGTTATTTGTTTTACAAATAGCACAATTTGTACTTTCTCTTTACAATTTTGTTTGCATGGTTTTTCCTTCTTCTTCTTCTTTATTTTTAATGTTTTACGCTGCGGAGCAGTAATATGGTCATAAATACTATATATTCGAGTACCAGTATATGTGCAGAGAAATAAGTTGAATGTTTTTACTGTACACTCAAAACATTTCTATTAACATTTCGGTCTATTTTTGTAAGAAAATATAATTGCTCCTTCATTGATTGGGTGTATAAATTATACGATTTTGATCCAAACGCCCGTTGCTGCACAGCACTGAATTTACAAATCAATTAATAAATAAAAATAATAAAAAGACAAGAGTTCTTTATAGTGAGTTCTTTTTTGAGTGTATGCCGAAAAAGTTGTTGTTCATAAAATGTATGTAAATTGTGGAATTTTTTAATTCGTTTGTGTAATTATACTCCAAGCGCGTAAAAGGTAAACTAGACTTATATGTTCTATCCGGTGCAGAATATTTTTGGCCAAAATGCAATTTTCCTGAAACGGTAAGTTGTTTCTAAATGATTTGTAATGGACTTTTAGGACATATTTTTTCTGCTATGTTCTTCCAATTATCAAGTGTTATTCCAACGAAATACTTAGTTCAGCAGATCCATGGGATGGTAATCAATGGTAATTAATGAGGTTATGCCAGTTGTGGATAAGTGTACTAAGGTACATGTATATTCATATGAAGAGCTCAAACTTTGAGCCGAACATTATAAATTCTATGATATCCATTTAGCTCGTACTATGTGGTGTGTTTCCAACAGAAAAAGAAATATGGACATGTTGTCGAACAATGCCCCATAAGGTAGGCACCACGCCGTAGAAAATGAATTACAAAGAAGAAATTGCTCAAAAGAGCGTGACGGCGCGCTGCTCATGAACTTTGCGTTATAAATGGCCAAGACATTTGCATACTGGTACTCGTAAATGTGCACCTACCCAGTACCCAGTCATTTGGCCGACGCGGTGCTTTACGATATGCTATTTGGCCCTCTCAGATATTTTCAAGCTCTGCGTACTTACGCAGACGCAGTTGAATTCTTTGGTTTGTGAAAAGTTTTTATTGCGATAACTGCGAATAAAAGACATTTTTGGTTTTTTGTAATTAAGTAAAAGTAGCTGTAAATTGGAATTTTCTTATTTCGTTTCTATGTCGACTTTCATTTATCGCGGGCAGTTGGGTCCGAATGACGCGTAAATTTGGGTTAAAGAAGCTCCTCAGCTTATCGTAGTCAGACATTAACATCAAAATATTGCTGGTTAGAACTGTGCCGCAATTTGAAGCACTACTCTCTTGGATCGAAACTAATAATTGAGGCTTCGACATTATAGCGATAAAGTTATAAATAAATAAATATATCTGCTCAATTAGTTTAGCATTAAAAAGCAATTAAAGTCTGATGGAAGGGGAATACAGGCAATTTAAACATGACGATAGCCCGTGCTATAAAAATGAATTCAAATCGCAATCTCAGTCCAAGTCATTTCAAATCTGCAAAGTAAACGTGAATATGGTAGTCGCGTATCTCTGGTTAATAAGGTAATCAGCGCGTTCTTACAACTATACTAAGAATCAATTTATAGCAGTAAATTGCTGCTAAATGAAATGTTCATGCGTATTCTTGTAAATGTGTGCATATGTACATACATACATATGTATATGTATCTATGAACACATGTGTACACAGCTCAGGAATTACGGCTGTGACCCACCTTTGGAACTGGAAATAAGCCAGCGGCCATTGAATGAGCGGCCGCTGCGAGTGGCTTTGCCAAGAAACTGCGAATCGATGCACCAGTTTCTGAACCATGGACCTGTCACGCAGCCACATTGAGGAGAAAATAATTGCAAGAAATGTCTAGATTGCTCCTGAAAGACGCGCGGACAACAGACAACAACACAACGGTCGGCAGTGAGGCGAGGAGTGAGGAAGGACAAACGAGTTTATCTGCGAAATAACTTGAATTGTTATTAGTAGCGCTCTGAGATCAATCCAAATAGGTCGAAGAACAAGAAGGCGAAGAAGTCCCGCTAGTCGAATGGGTTTCATGTTTGTGTCTACGATAAAAGATGTGCTCCTTTTCTAATACATCAACTATATATATACATATGTATGTATGTACATACATCGATAAGCGGTACTTTGTAATGACAACGAAGAAAAAGCTTTGTACAAACGTCAAACAAAATTATAATTGCAAAACGCGCTGGAATACAAAAAAAAAACTTCTTCTGCGGAAATAAATCAATGACGAAATCTTTAAATGCATATTTGCAATAATTACTTTATAATAATTTTTTGGGCTTAGAAATTTCACTTTGCATACACTTGACATAAGAATTGGTTCTGTGCCTTAAGATTAAACAAGATAGAATGCTAAAATATCAGAAAGATAAGAAGAAGAAGCGCCAACTCGATGATTCAGTTTGTGGGCGTGGCAATGGACTAAAATAGTTTCGCTAATAAATAGCCGATTTGAATGAAATTTGAAAAAGGGTAGATATGTATGTACATATATACAATATTGACAAAATAAACTAAGGAGAGTCAATATTTATCTATTAATGTTTATCTTTTGACATCTTTAGATCAATTTTTCTGGTCATGTTGATACCCATTTTGCCCTTGGCTATAGGGTATGACAAGTTGTATACCGGTAAAAAGCAATTTTGTGAATGTACAGGTGTATGTAGTATTCAGAGACTTACAGATTTGAATAAAGTTGACCTCTACCGGCATTTATGCGTTTATGGTGTTTTTAAATTCCAAAAGTTCTCGTTTGAATCCGTGTCCAACAAAATTTGAAATGTCAATAGTGAACCATTCGATCAAAAGTTGTAAGCAATTATACAAATTTGTGTGTTGTTGTGATACAAAAATATTTGTGGGTTGTGTGTTTGTTTTATTCGATTTCGTTTGAATAAATTATGTGCTATTATACATTAAAAGAAGACCAGATTTTGGTATACGACTGTTACCGCTATGTTACGGTACGGCCAGGGCAAACCCAGAGTTTATAGACATATATTTCGTTGGAAAGGTCTCGAAACAGGCTTTCTCCGTTTTCATCACTGAATGTTTGCATACTGGGAATGAAATACTTCTATATGTATATATTTTCCAATCTGGCAGCCCAATACATAGTAAGGGCACCAAATCGACTTGGCAATTTCAGCACCACATGGAGGGACGTCCGGGAAGCCCAAAATGTATAAACACTCACTGAGAAAAACATCGCCAAAATTCGTTAAATGGTTCTGACCGACCGGCGAATGAAACTAAAATAGATAGCTGTGATTACCAAGATATCTAAGGACTGCCTTTGCCATATTTTGAACAAGGAATTGGACATGACATTTTTAATCCCTCGTACAACTGCCTTGATTTGCAGTAAATGTATAGTCCTTAATTATATAATTTCAATTTTAAATGCAAAAGAAGATCCTTACAATGTTCTATAATTTATGTATATTAGTTTTTGTCTCTGTTAAATGTAAATTGGTTAACTGGTCGTTTATAGGGAGTATTTCAATATTTTTGCTGATGATGAATGTTTTGGCGCTGTTTATGTTCTTATTTATTTCCAGTCATTAATATGATTTTTGAACAGCATATAATGTTTATTCTACTTACTTATATATTAAATAATTAAGTATACGATTCGTTAACAATTCACACTTTGCGTGCAGTACAAACAAATTGTAAATAAATTTACATAAACAAACATCACCATCGCTGCTTAAAAATTAATCATTACCTGCTCATCTGCATTATCTTATGACTTTCTAGCATCCGTGTTTCGCCACACATAATCGGTAAATTTAATTTATAGAACGAAACTTTCTATCCCGTTTCAATAAACATGAACCTACAATTTCTAAACGGTATCCACTCTTTTCTAAATAAAACGACCATTTCTTTTGCCAGTCAGCGAACACAATAGCACTTTCATTTCGTTAGAAGACTTGCCCAATAGTTCATTTGCATTTTCCCGCAGAAGACCAACCTAACCGAGTGAAGCCAATAACAAGACTAACCGCCGAAAAGTAAATTGCCGGCCTCGACTACAGTAGCTGCGATCGAGCTCCAGCATCGCAACGAGTTTTCCGACTCTGGTAGCGCAATAATACTCGTAGCTGCATACATACATATGTACATATGTATGCACCTCTCGGATATCAGTTGCAGTCTGACATGGGTTTAACAGAGATTGTGACTTGTAATGTCTCATACTTTTAATTATTGTTAATACTGGCACTAGTTGCTAATCACAACTATGTGCACACAAACGTACAGGGATCACAACAAATTTTCCAAATCTGACATAACTGTGTATGTTTAAGTCCAACATAAACCTTTCTTTATATATTTCGCTGACTGCAATATTTATCAATTTGCATGCTATATTTATTATTATATATGCCTACACTAAATCGAATTCTTGGCCAACTCTTTTGCAAATTTATATGTGCACCGTTACTATTCTTGCTTTACTTTCCCAGTTTTGGCTTTGACTTTGGCTTGACTTTGGCTCAACATCTCATGCTGAAGCTGCCAATTTCTTGCGTTGCATTGAAATGAAAAACGGGTTTGCCTTGCGCTATTGACTAAAATGGGTCAAATTTTAGAATGCAACTTCCAGAATCATGACCGCGATCTCCTAAACGACGCTGTAGTTTGGCGAGTTCTTCTGCTTTTTTTCTCTCGATACGTGAAATTGGGTTAACGGAATAATCATAAAGTTGGTCTTGGACGCCGCGGCTGGACAACCGTATAGTTGATTGTAAGGTGGTGGGGGGAGTGTGCTATAAAGCTTTTAGTGAGCGCTTGATGCATCGATTTGGGTCGATTCCATTAATTTTTCCATGTCCAGGGAGCCAGCCATTCTTCATGAGCCTGGCCCACTTAATTCCGGATGAATATTTCGGCCAACAAACTATATTTACAACAACAGAAATATAAGTTAAATGTATAGTATACGTTATGTACATATGTATATGGAATATAATGTACCATTCAAAATTGATCGCTTCATCAATACTAATAAACCAATTTGCACGACTATATATTATTGACAGGTAATTGTTTTCGTGCGCTGCGCCTAAGGTTGTTCTGCTGTCAATAATTTATTAATAAACAACTTCCGAATCTGGTTTTTTATATACCACAAATCACTTAAAAGCTTTCAACCCGTCTGTAGTATTTTTTATAGTATTTTTTACTTAAACAGCGAAGGCATGCACCAGCGGTTGTTGTTACACTAGCCGTTGCACACACCCGGGTTATTAAATAGACTACATATTATCAACACGAGAGCGGGCGTTGCGTTTAAAAGCTTTTACTGCCCATGTACGAGTAGGTAAGAAACAAACATAACGAGTAGAATGCACGTAGCGTGTCCATCTTGACTTTTATACCATATGCATATATACAAATACTGGGCCTAATAATTAATTAAATGTACTAAGTATATCCGAATTTTTGGCACATTTCTTATAGTACATATATTAAAAATTCAATTAATCAGATAAAGGTTATAACACAAACAGTATCAGCTGCTGCCAGAGCATAGGCGGAGACTACAGCTGTGGCTATAACTTACTTAAAAATTGAGCTATTAGGACAAAACTTGGTATACATACATATGTCTTATGTAGATCAAGAATATATACATACTTATGTATATTTTGCGGGGTTGACCACGCCTTCTCCTGCCCAAAATTAAAGCAAACTTGCATGATTTTCAAACAAAAAGAAAATGTTTATTATACTCTGTACTCCAAGGATAAAAGGGTATATTAGTTTTGTAAGAGTGTGTGTAACTCAGAAGGAGGCGTGGCAAACTCCTAAAAGTATATATATATATTCTTGAACAGTATGCCAATACGAGTGGATATGTTAGTACGTCTGTATGAACGCAAGCATCACAGAAAGTATAATTTTGTGGATTCATGTTGCAATTCATTTGTATACCCTGTATTTAAAGGGTACTATAATGCGGCCTACTAGTTTTCTGCGCGTGTATGGAAAACCGAGCAGGAGCCGTGCCCCAACAGGTGTGTGTCTGTACGGGTATTATTCATTCTTTTATTTTAATTAAAAGCCGTTTAAAAATGAAAAAATTATGTTTTTCAAAGCGTATATTTGCAAAGCATTCATTTAAGCCTTCCCTTTAAATGCTTGAATATTCATACTCGTACCCTATCTTGGCTGGAGTTAATTTTAGCGGATTTCGTTTTGCGTTAAGTTTGGAAGCCCAACAAAAGAGTGCGTTAATTTTGCGCAGCTGTGCGGGATTCGACTGCTGATTCAATCACGTCAATCAGGTGTCAAATGTTCCACCACGGTATGATAATCGAATGAAAGGTTCCTTGGTATTTACGTGCAACACGCGATGCGCATGCACCTTTCGTACACAGGCGGGATTTGTCTATAAAAGCGAATAGTCGAAGGCTGAATTGTGTATTCCTTCCGCAGCAGGACAACGATAAATGGCGAACATGACGATTTGCCGCAGCAGCTATTCGAATTCGAAGCTGACTCTGGTGCTGGTGGCGCTCGTCCTTTACGTACTTATCGCCCCATCCTGGGCCAATCTGGATGCCTCAAAACAGGAGCTGCAGCTACGGGACTTGGAGTCCAAGGTGGAATCGGATAGAGACCAACTCAATGAAAACACACCCGTCTCTGCGAGGGCACGCACTTCTGGGCTCTTTTCCAGCAGGCGGAACCAGCGTTCAATATATGGGCTAGGACCGAGGATGTTGCAAATCTCGCGCTCCAAGATACCCATCGAATTGGACCTGCTGGTGGACAATGACGCTGCCGGCGAGCGGCCCAAGCGCTTCGACGACTACGGGCACATGCGCTTTGGAAAGCGAGGCGGAGATGATCAATTCGACGATTATGGCCATATGCGATTCGGTCGGAAAAAGTGAACATCGACTTAGACTTGAACATGGGGTTTTGAAGTTATTTTCTTTTGTAAATATTACTCAAATCTATCAACATAAATATGTATTTGTATAGGCTGCCTACACTTAACAATCATTAAATACCTGAAAATATTGCGCATTCCAAAATGGACGAATTTTTGTGTGTGTTTCATTTTAAATTGTGGATCCTTTTCCCTTCTCCATACTAAGACATGACTCAAGAACTCTTCTCGACTAATGGAGCATTATGCCATTATATGTTACATAGATATTATGGAAACGGCTAGTCCACAATATTTTGCATCGTTTTTTAACAAATCTAACTTTTGTGCTTAATTTTGGATTTCTCTGAAATTCTATTTAAAATTACAATCGAAACCATTGACTTTTTGCATTATGGAACAATATACATATATAAGAAACCCTTTATAAATAATTTGTATATCATGTAACCAAAAAATAAAACGAATAGAGTGCCAGGCTTGTCCATAGTATGATGCTTCAAAATCGTGGATTAGTTCTTGCTTAATGCTATTGACGCTTCTAATGGGTCAGGATCAGTCAATACGATTTCAAGATAACTTTTAAAATACTCTGCTCCACTCCATTAGTTCTGAGTGATCGTTTCGACAAAAATAAGATCGTTCCAAGCCACCGTATTGGCCTTAGTTAGCTCCGTTGGGTTTCCGGCTATTTAATTAATTGAAAAGATCACTTCGGGGACACATGTTTTCAGAAGATTCAAGAAAAAGCTGAGAAAGCTGCTGAAGGCCATTCCAGAAAACTATTTTTTGGCTACTCCGAGAATTGGAAATAATGTGCGTTGTATACTGAGGGGATTTTTGTGAAGGCGAAGAAACAGTTTTTATAACGAATAAATAGAAATTTTGAATATTATAATAATCAGTGTGCGTCATATACGTGTATATATGTATATGTACAAACGGTGTTTAATAATATTGTCCTTATACACTGCCTTTTTTTATAAATTTGAATTTATGAGTGAATTTAATTTAATCAAAACCAAATCAAACTATTTGCTGTCTATATTTTTGAGTGCATTTTGATTTAATCAGCTGTTGCTGGCATCTAAAAAAGAATCAAAAATCGGAGAAATAGCCAGTATTTAGGCGTATTATTAAAATACAAAAATACCTTCCAACACGCTCCAGTTGCTTTCAGTTAACATTTTATTCATGTTTATATTACAATATACGATTATTATAATTGTGTTTTTTTTTTTTTTATAGAATAGAATCTAATATGGACAAAATAAGAACTATTTTATCAAGGGAATGTGAAAGAGTACATATTCATTACCAGCATTGGATGGAGTAACAAAATATATTTTACATTTGTGATTTGAGCAATTCGGAAAGGGAACTACATGACTCCCGATCGTTTACAGTGGGGGTATTCTTTATTGCTTTATACTAGATTATGTTTTATATTTATCCATAAGTGATTCGCATAGAATATATTGCTCTCGTATACTTGCATATACACGTACACACATATATATTCCTTTTGTAATTGCAATTACATTCGTAGCAGTTTCTATATCGAACGTATTAAGGTATAAACCTAATAAGGCACACGTATTCATTGTTGAAAGTGGATGTTGATGTTGATGTTGCTTTGTGTCTGTCTGTCTTTCCGTCTGTCTTGGTGTATCCTGGAATCGTTCTAGGACGCATCTTGCAGCTATGTTATTATTATTTCAGTATACTCGCGTATCAGTAGAATGCTTTTTAGGCGCTCTTTCCGGCTACTCGTACGTGTATGTATCTATGTTGTTCGTGTACTTGAATTGATTTCACTTTTTTATTTGACCAGCATCGCTTTATTGCGTAAACCTACATGCATCTCCATTATCCATTATTGGACGAATCGCCGCTTGGCTCATCATCAATGTTTGCATTTTTCGATGTGTTTTATTTATCTGCGCGGCTTTCCAAAGCTGTTGGCGGGTCCCAGAGGCCCATTTCCGTATATGGGCGCGGGGCCGCTATTGCCGTAAATCGCTTGTGCATGGCCCATAGGCGCCCCCGCTCCGTTCACCATGGCCGCCTGCTTGCGTTGCAGTGTTGTTGGTCCCATCTGTCTGTCGTCGCTGTCGTTCAGCTCTAGGCCGGCCACCATTTGGGCGATTTCCCGCTCCTTCTTCATGTCTGGCGGATTGAATTGCAGACTAGCCAGTGACCCGTGGCTGCGACTGCGATGCTCCTGCCGTATGGAATAGCTGAATGCGCGTTCGTTTAGGTGCCCCTTTCGCCGGTAAATGCCGGTGCCTCCCGGAGATTCGGCTCCTGAATTGCCAGAGTCGTCCAAGCCGTTGCCCATGGAGGCTGCCAATTTGCGACTGGACAAGCCCAACGGACGCGGCTCGCCAATTAGCGATTGAGCCAATGCCGGGGGCGGCACTCCGGCCCCCATCGCCTGCTGATGGTAGGCATATAGAGGTGGGACTATTGGCATACCAACGGGCACTCCACCACTCGAGTTCTTCTTCTCCTTCTTTTTTTTCTTGCTTGTGGAGCGCGACGACTGCAGTGTTGCGTACTGTTGTGGCAGCATGACCGGAATCTGCATCGGATGATGCAGGTGTGAGTGCGGATAGTGGGCCAGATGGGCGGGCGGCGGACCCGGCGGGAAGCCACGATGACTGATTGTGTGATACTGACGTCCGGCATGTGGACCGGATATCGGTCCGTAGATGACGCTGGCAGGCGCAGGACCGCCATGCATCTGCAAGCCAGCCCGATGTATAGCTGCAGGGTGTATTGGCTTTGGTCTGATTAGAGTGCCCGACAAGCTCTGACTGCTACTTGACTTGGACAGCTTCTTATCAGATTTCGGCTTGCGCTCCTCCTTAACTGGCGGAGGCGGTACGTCAATTGGTATGCTGATCTGGCGCGCTCGCATTGGACGGCCCAGAGTAGATGTGTTTCCCGTATAGACTTCATAGGGACTTTCGATGGCGCCAATACTATCGAGCTGATCCTGTGAGCCACTCCAGACTTTGTGATTTTCGTCCCCATTGAAGAGCGAAGCCTCGCCATCGTCGACATTTACGTTCAGATCGGCGCTGCTTCCGTAAACTGAAAGAAGATAAATAGAAGAGTGTGAGTTATAGGTGAATAAAAATCAAGATTAGCTTTTAAAACTAGGTGCGACTGAAAACCAGTGGAATCTATCAACAGGGCTAGTTAATTGAATGGACCTAGGAAGAAAGCCACTTCTGTTGACGTGCAACGAATTTCGGGTTGAGGTCAGACATAAGTATTGTTGGTTTGCAAAATTATACAGGTTCGAAGCTTCCCGACTCTGTACTTTATACCAACCAGTACACATAGTATTGTCCTAAAGGAAACTTCTAAATATAGTGAGATAATTATACATTTTAAGTACAAAACTGTATTGGCTCAGTACAGGCATTGTTGTACCAATCATTCAAATTACATCTACTTATATCATACGATAATGAATAAAAAGGGGTTTGACACTAAAATTGATTTCTGCACAGATCAGCAACTACTTAAAGTATTTATTTTGATCAATTTCTTGAATAACATGGCACACTATACACAACTTGAAACTCAATTAAGATGACTTCAAAAATAATTCTAATTTTAGCTTTGATTGTAATAATCATAATAATGTGCGGATTGTTAAAATTTAATTAATTAATGATATTAATTTTGGTGTGTCGGGGGTGTTGTCGGTGTACATACGGAGGCGGACATGGCTGTATCGTGTCGAACGGCCCCTATTTTCTCTGTTATGTAAGTACATTTCACCTTTCGAGTAGAGACTATTTACATGCACTCAAAAGTTTGTGGAAATCAAATAAAGAGGTTCAGACATTACAAAACGCAAATTACAACGATGTGGAATTAAGGCGATCGAGTAAAATTTCAATTAATAACTAAGATGCATCAGAAAATAAATTATTTATAATAACCACAATTTTCAATACAAATTTCTAGTTCGAGTTGGTTGAGATCTTAATTTTACGCTAAAAGGAAATACAAGTACGAGCACAGATGTATGTTAATGCAGAATCGAAACAGAATTTTAATCGAGGGGGTGCCTAACTATATATTGAACTATATACAAGTATGTATTTATATGGTAGATATGTATATATGTTTGACCCTTCTCAAGCAAATTTTCACATTACTTGTGAAACTAAAACTAAAACGCGCCGACAACAACTTATCAATTGACAATGCTTAGCCCATTCAAACCAAACCATGGATATCAATTAGAGCGGGGCAACCAAGCCTTGAGAGCTTGTCTCACCTTTCCAGCCATCGATTCGCTGATTCATGCGCGTAATACCAAGCGACCAAGCGAATGGCCAAGACAATGGGAGGCGAGCTAACAAAAAGGTGCTCGCAATAAGAAATACCCGTACGTGAGACTTAATGCCGTACCGCCATAAATGGGCCAAGACTGCTGGGTGGAAGCGGCTGCGCATTCAAATGAAGCCCATTGACTGGTGATCGAAGGCGATTATGTGGGCCAGGGACTCTCAACCGTATAGCGTTGAGCCTCCCGTTATTAGAAAAGGTATGTATGTACTTCAATATGTTCACTGTTGTATTAAAATATGAGCATATTTATATTTATTTCTTAATTCTTTAATAGGAATACTTGAGACATTTTTGTGATTTCACGTTCACGTTCAGTTTTAGAACGAATTATAATTATAGATTAGAGTAAGCTGAAAAATTGGAATTGGAAGACAAAGGAGGTATTGTTATAATCCAAACTTTTCCATTTTTAATAAATATATTTCGTTCATTGAAAATGGATTTCTAGTCACATAGCATTTCACTTTGTTCTAATGCAGGTTATCGACATTTCGACAAGTGGAATCAAATGTAACTTTCCGGTTTAAGAGAGCGGCTTCAAGAACGAAAAATAAGTTGACATATAACACACGACTAGAGATCGGTTCATTAATACTTGTAATTATAGATTAGAGTAAGCTGAAAAATTGGAATTGGAAGACAAAGGAGGTATTGCTATATTCCAAACTTTTCCATTTTTAATAAATATATTTCGTTCATTGTAAAATGAATTTCTAGTCACATAGCATTTCACTTTGTTCTGATGCAGGTTATCGACATTTCGACAAGTGGAATCAAATGTAACTTTCCGGTTTAAGAGAGCGGCTTCAAGAACGAAAAATAAGTTGACATATAACACACGACTAGAGATCGGTTCATTAATACTTGTAATTATAGATTAGAGTAAGCTGAAAAATTGGAATTGGAAGACAAAGGAGGTATTGCTATATTCCAAACTTTTCCATTTTTAATAAATATATTTCGTTCATTGAAAATGGATTTCTAGTCACATAGCATTTCACTTTGTTCTAATGCAGGTTATCGACATTTCGACAAGTGGAATCAAATGTAACTTTCCGGTGTAAGAGAGCGGCTTCAAGAAAGAAAAATAAGTTGACATATAACACACGAATAGAGATCGGTTCATTAATACTTGTAATTACCTCAACAAAATTGTAAATTAATAATACAAAATACTAACTAAATACCTATGTTTTATCTGCCATCAGAGACTAACGACTAAAGGTCCAGTTATGCTTAAAGCCACGCAATTCATGGATAGCTTGAGCTTCTCTAGTGTTCCAGTATTGGTTGTCCGATTTGCGAACTTGATTTGCATTTTTATTTATTTGTGCGAGTTCGTGAAGTGCGCGTGAAGTAACCGCGACTCGGTTCTTTAACGCATTTGGGTCATGGCGGCAACGGTTTTGTAATAAATAACGGTAATTTAATAGGCTCAACTCTGTTGTTACACCTGTAGCTGCCCAGTCTAGATCTTGAAAGCGACGAGTCATTTTTTGTACGAATACGAGTCTCTGGCGGATGGTCGCTTCTTTACAGAAACAGAATTTGTTTCTTGTGGCTTAACGCGTTTGCTATTCTTGCTACTGCGGGTTGCGGGTTTCGTGTTCCTGTTAATTTAGCTGCTACTTCTTGTGGCATGGGCAAGCCAAGTGGAGTGTATTGACCCTCACAGGTTGGTTGACGTTGAAACTGAGAGCCCCCGAGAAACCTCTGTTAGAACGGAGGAAGAAACATGACGTTGCGATTTCTCCGTGCCATTCAAATGTACAAACATCGGTCTACTACTTGTAAGTATGTGTGTTGCGATGGAGGTAATGAAATAGCTGTGATACCGCTCAGCTGTTTAATTAAAAGCTAAGCGAGCTTATCATGCCAAAGATATTCCATAACAATTTATTCCAATGTACACTCAAAACAACAAATTGCAGTTGATTTAAATATACTTGAAATATGCATTACACATTTTTTAAATTTTTATATTTTACTAGTTAGTTCAAATATTTTTGAAATGCATAATAGAGACTCGGATGGACTAGAATTCCGAAGTCGGTTATGCCAAATACAAAGTGTAACCATTGCCTTATCTATATGGTCGTTAAGAATTGGTCAAGTGTCTTCAATCAGCTATTCCTCACTTTTTAATATCAGTATGATCTAGGCCTTAAAAAGCGGAAAATTTTATTATTTATTACAAAATATTTTCATAAATTATTACCTTCTAAAAATGTTCAATAAAATAAATATACACATGCATTTACAACATTATCATTATTTAAAACAATTAATACTGTTGTTAGATGAGTAGACAAAAAGTCGGCTAAATATGTTACTTGTATAATTTAAAAAAGATTATTTAATATCGTCACACTTTAAATGTAAAATTTTAATATTGAACTTGAAATAAATAAATTATTTTCTTATAAAATTGTTCTATAAAATAAATAGGCACATGCATTTACAACATTATCATTATTTAAAACAATTAATACTGTTGTTAGATGAGTAGACAAAAAGTCGGCTAAATATGTATTAATTTAAAAAAGATGATTTAATATCGTCACACTTTAAATTTACAATTTTAATATTGAACTCGAAATAAATAAATTATTTTCGAATTAAAATAATCATATAATATATAGGCATTTACAAAATTTTTATCATTATTTAAAACAATTAATTAATTAGAAGAGTTCACAAAAAGTGGGTTAAATATGTTATCATTTAAAAAGGAAACCTTTGGCGTGAATCAAACCCACGTCCACATCATCATTTCTGATTTAAATTTAATATTAAACTCGACAAATATTCAAATTTTAAACTGCATAAATATTCAAATCTTTTTTTTATGAGTGTATGAGTATTTATGCACTCAAAAGAATTTGTAGAGGTATTTGCAAACCTTTTCAAACCTCCTTTTTTTAGATGCGAAAGTGCATGCCTATTTGTTGTCAACTTTTCAGAAAGTATCACCGATTGATTGATGGCTATAGGAGTTGGAACGGGAGTCGAAACGATTTGGCTGGCTAGTTGAAACGAATATAGTTTTATTTTAGACGGCTCTTTAGTAATTCGGTGCACATAACTATATTTAAATTACAAGTAAGTTATAAGTTGCCAAGTACCTACTAGCATGTACCCGTATAACAACTTACGAGTATTTAAAGCAAATTCTTCGAGTGAAACGCATGTGAGCTTGCAGCTTTTCCCTCCCAGACTGGACTGGACAGCTAGAGCGATGACTGGAGGTGAGTTATAATCGGTAATAATAGTTGCGGAAGTCAGTGAAATTCCTGAATATTGTATACAAGTAGTATGGTCCGTGAACTGATTTGGCTCTGACTTCATTATTGCAATGCTTAAATGTAAAACCAAATTGCACTTCCACTTGCAATTTACGCTAATTTCGCAATAGCGTGGAAGTTGATTTTTAATTGTTTCGAATTTTCTTTGGCTTGGTTTTGAAGCAATAATTACGTGAAAACGATTCGGCGAGCGCACCGCTTTAGAAAGGCCTTTATCTTATGTCATAGGCAGAAGCGATGATGGCAAAAAGTAAAATTTATACTCTTACTTGTTTTTAAACGCGAGCAGAGATGGAAGGGAGGAAGGCGGCTCTGAAAATGCGCATGCGTGCGTGAAAACTGCAAAGTTGGGCATTTGGATATACTCTGATAGGGGAATAAGGAACAGAAAATACATTTACAATTGGTAAGCAAATT